ATCTACATATTTTCCTCAAAAGTTTGGTGGTCATGTACATTATCAGTGGCTTGATTGACCATACACAGAAAGCCTAGTTATATAAATTAATGGGTCACACTTTATTGTGATGGTCCACTTGTAGAATTTAAGTTAAATTGCATCTTCATGCCAACTAATTCTAATTTGATTACAAGTAGACTGAGGTTGGGGTTAGTGTAAGTTGACTTGCAAAGTTTCTTATAGTCAGTTAAATGTCTGTTGACAGTCTACTAATACTCAAATGGACCATCAAAATAAGGTGTTACCAATTAATGTTTCAATTTGGATTTTTTAACAAATAATGGTCATTTGACAATAAATTCTGTACAGGAAATCAACCAACCTGAGCAGATAATTCCAACCATTTCATTATGCTCACAGTTGTGGGTACCCATTTTATCGCTACTGCAGTTGAGTATTGAGGGCTCTGATCCACTGCAGACCACATCGTCCATCCAAATCTTTCCTGATCCAGATCCAAAGTGAGCAGCACGCATTGTATCTGAAGAATCGCTGCAGTTCAGTTCTCTGCACACCACTGCAGTGTTTGTCAAACTCCAATAATCATCACACACGGTTCCCCATTCTCCATTATAATAAACCTCTAATCTTCCAGCACAGGCATCATAACCACCAACCAGCCTCACGTTTGCTGTAGACAAGAAATAGAAAACATATATTAAATTTGAACTAAATGGTGAGAGAATAACATACAGCCTATTAACTAAAAAAATGGCAAAAAAGTGAAACTCTGAAGTATCCTTTTAAGACAAGTTGATTGCAATACATTACACAATATAAGCACTTACCAGCTGAGATGAATCTGATCACACAAAACCAAAAAATGAGAGTTAGAAAGCTCTCCATCTTCACTGATCAGTCTCTTTGGATTAAAGTTGAGAGGATCGCTGCCACCTAAAGCGAGATGGAGACCTTCATAACCAGTAAACAAGCCAATCAGAGTCACTCTTACCTTATTAGACAGAGGAGAGGAACTCATCAAAGAGCTCTCATGACAAATCAGAGGACATCATTTTTATTTTTACCATATTTAATAAATGTATACATCAGCACTGATGAGCAGGACTCCTCCTCCAGCTTACAGAGACACTTGAGGAGAGACATCGATGGACGACAGTGATGTGTGTTACAGGAAACTGATTTTAGAGACAGGAAACATTCCAGTTTATTTAGAGCATAAAGCACCTGCAGATACACAGATTGTGCCGATAAACATGATAAACCACCTGCATCATGTTTCTCACTTTGAGTACACATATAGAAATAATAGCTGGATCTAAACATACCAACAATCTATTTTTTTTTATACTATAAATTTTAAATAAATATTTTGGCTGTCTATGTGATCAATATGGCAGGCTGTTTTAACATTAAATCTGTAAAACAACATAAAGACTTTGGGTGCTAGTGCTTATTCTATATAGACACAAGTACCTTTTAAAAAATACTAATACTTATTCATTAGATACTAGTATTTATTGATTAGAGATTAGAAACTAACAAATGTCTATTTTTTTTTGCATCAAAATTTTGCATTTGATGGTGGATAAGGAGATTCCCCCCTATCTGTAAAGCGCTTTGAGTGCCCAAAAACACTATATAAATGCAAGGAATTAATAATTATTATCTATTTTTTTGCATCAGACTTCTGATTTGTCTTCGAAATATCAGCTATTGAGTTTTGACTTGTAGGTTTTTCTAAATGTAACTTATACACTGAATCTCCTCTGACCAAACATGATTTTTCCCTTTGCCAAAAGCAGCAGCTCTTAGCAACTGTACAGGAGTTCCACAGCCCAACTGTCTGCACACTACCTCTGCATCCTGCTGGTCAAAGGCAGCGTCACACACTGAACCCCATTCTTCTGCACGGAGCATCTCCACTCTCCTATAGCACAGGTGAAACCCATTCACAAGTCGAAGTCCTTTTCCTGTGTTATTAGATTATAAAGACAGATAATTCATTTACTCACATGGAGAAGCAGTGAATACTAACAATCATTTTTTTTTACATCGTATTTCATTAATTAACTTAATAGGCGCAGCCGGTAGTACTGTCGCCTCACAGCAAGAAGGTCGCTGGTTCGAGCCTCGGGTGGGTCAGTTGGCGTTTCTGTTTGGAGTTTCGCATGGGTTTGCTCCGGTTTCCCCCACAGACATGCGGTACAGGTTGAGTAGACTAAATCGTCCGTAGTGTATATGTGTAAATGAGTGTTGCGTAATACATATGCTGGATGAGTTGGCGGTTCATTCCGCTGTGGCGACCCCAGATTAATAAAAGGACTAAGCCGAAAAGAAAATGAATAAATGAATGAATAATTCACTTAATCTGTACTTAATGTCTCTGTAATTTTTCCATTCGTTTGTTATTTTAGAATTTTCATTAAAATTATTATTGTAAATAAGATTGTCTTATTAGACTGCCTGGAGATAATAAATATATATGCTTATTGGAGATTACCCCAGTAATAGTTTATTATAAGAAAATTAGGGATGAGGATGCATATTTAATGATGAACAAAACAATTAAACTAATTTTCTGCTTTAAAGGGTTAGCATTGGTAGTTTGTTGATAATATATAGCAGACGCATTATACAGCTTGAGTGAGAATTATAAAAAAGGTGATGTAATAACAGACTGAGGTTTCGGGCAGCTTACCTGAACAGACCACACCAGCATTTTCAGCATGATTACAGTAATTTGTTAAATGACTGTCTGAACTATAGTCTTTGAGTAAAGTCTCTGATCCACTGAACTGTATAAAAGCCATTAAAATTGATCCTGATTCTTGTCCAAAGTGAGCATTATATGTTGGTTTTACAGCCATTCCACAGTCCAGTTCTCTACACACCACTGCAGCATCAGCAACATCCCAATGTTGTTTACACACTGTCTCCACTGCCCATTTCGAAGAACCTCCACTCAACCAGCACAGGGATTATTGCCATTCACCAACCAAACACAAGCAGTGACAAATCAGAAAGCAGCATTTGGATTTTCTCCATATATATCAATAAAGTGTGAGCGCTGATGAGCGGGACTCCTCCTCCAGCGTCAAGAAGAGACACTTCACTGAGGACAGACTCATGTCAGTCATAGTTCAGCCTGGAGATAAACACACTGAACTTAACTGATAGAGAAACTCTGAGGATTATATGATGAACACAGCACATACCAGCTCTGATGATTCATTTGTGTAAGTATGAACACACTTCAAATATTTACAACTCACAAAAACTATTTGATCATAACCATTTTTATTAAATATTTCTTTTTAACAAGATGATTTCTAGATTAAGTCTATCGAATATTACTGTCAATTTTATTGTACTACTTTTAACCCAATTTAACACATACAAAATAGATGCTTCATTGTCTATGATATATAAATATCTAAATATCTAAATTATAAAAACAAAAAGAGCATTTTATAGTTTAGGGGACTCATGTAAATAGTTTAAAGATAAATTTAATATCACTGCTCTGATATTCTGAACAAAATCACAATAAGCAGTAAGTTACTATATTATAAAATAAACTAGACTGATTTTTTATATAAAACAAAGGGTATTTATACAAAATGCAATTATTTATGTTCCAAAAATACTGATGTGGGGATTTTATCAGACATTACACCTGTAAACTTTTAAACCTGCAACGCGTAATTTATCCAGCAGATGGAGGCAAAACACTGTTAATAGTAAAGATGAGCAGAGTCTCGTTCTCCTGTCACTGTATGATGGAGCTTCTCTCTTATTTACTTCTGTTGGCCTAAACATTTACATTTCTTTTTCCACAGCTACATTACAGCAGCAAATAGAATTTATTTCAAGTAAAGCTCATTTCACAGCACATGGTTTTACTCTTTTGTAGCTGCTTTCGTATAATAGGCCTAAAGTAAATGACATAATATAATCATCTCTATAAACAGACCTCCACAGTCCTGGTTTTGGTGTCTTCCTACAGGAAAAAGTTAGAACTACCTCCTTACTCACACAAAGCCTGTTGGTCATCGGAGCAATCAAGCATTTTTGTCGATAGTATCTGGATGCAGCCTTTATGATGCACGCTGAGATTGCTTATCTCAGCAATGCAATGTCAGACACAATGCACTCAATGGAGCTAGTGACGTGACTGTGAGGGGTGGGGTTAGATGAGCCCATTAAAAAGCATTGCATGAAGCTCAGATTGCATCTGCACCAGGTCTGCATCCAGACCCATCTCATTTTTATCTCCCCTGATTATAGATATTACTACTAGCAAATATTAAAAAAATAATAATAAGTTAAGCACTTGATTAAGTTTACTCACCTGATCAACCGAAAATAAATCTGAATATTATCGTTTTGTCATTAAGGGAGAAACTCTTTACTGCAAGCAAGGACTATTTTTATCCGTTTTTTATATATATTAAAAAACAGGTCTTCGTCATGGTTGTATTTGTGACTGCTACAGACAGTAGTGTATGAATATGCAGTGACGTTACACTACAGACAGCTTCTGTAAATGTTAATGACATGAGCAGCTCTGGGATTCTGATGCTTAGTGAAGTTAGAAACAAACCTGTTGCAGATTGTTGAACTGCACATAATGCAACATTTACAGCCTAAGAAATGATGCATTACAAGTAAATAAGCATATTCATAATATGTTTATTTATTATTAATTATAATATTAATGATAATTATAAAACATTTCTGAACACATAAGATAATATTTTATACAAATGGCATTTTAATTCAAAGAATTACTGTAAGCATACAAAATGAACCCAGAGATATTTTAAGTATTATTCACTAAAACTCCAGTTGTTGCAGTGATGCTGAGGCTGATACATCTCTGAGGGGCACTTGATAAATCTCTGATGGTCATTTAATAAATCTCTGATAGCCATAGATGTCTTCAGGCCACTGCTGTTGTGCTTTTAAGAATCACAAAGTTGACAAAAAACTTTTGCCTAAACAAGATTTTTATTGCAATGAACAAAGCTGAATAAAAAAATCACATCAAATATATAACTTTAATAACTTTTTTATCATAAAATAATCATAAAATTATTATAAAAGATATATCAGAGATATCAGTTACAATATCACTCTTGAGTTCTCAGTGATCAAATCTGTTGAAGCAAATAACTGGGTTTGATTGTTGACCCAAATGTCTCTCCCTCTTCATTTAACTCCTCGTCCACATCATCATAATCTGTTATTGAAAAAGATAATCTTACATCATATTAATGTTTTATTGTGTAAATATATAAGTTTGCATCATGAAAAGATTTGAAAAACATACCCAGCAGGTTTGTCACATCTTCACTCACATCATCATATTCCTCCTGATCTCCCTCTAATCAATATTATCAATAATATTACTAACACTGATATTAGTGATGTTGGTTATATTATAAAACACTTGATCTTTAACACTTTAAGGATCATTTTCCTCATAAATGACGTGCACAAAATGCATTTTGAGCATGCAAAGGTTTTTAAAAATAGTAGTTGTGTTCAACTCACCTGTTTCCCTCTGTCCATTAATGATGACATCATCATAACTCTCTGCTGTGTTCACTAAACATGCGGGTGAAAATAAGACAAAATGTAATTCAGGCCAAAAACTTAATATAAACATAATAAAATATATTATCTTGATGTTTTAAGAATTTAAAAAATATATATAATAAAGTAAAACCTTTCGTAATAGAGCTCTGTTCACTGGTCATGACATCATCATAGCTCTCAGGTGTGTTTTCTACAAATTCACACAATTATTAATAAACTCACATTAATAAAGACATTTATATTCAATATACTGTAATATTTTAAAACATTTAATACACAGATATACAATAACACACCTGTCTCATAATCTGGCTTCAGTCCATCAGTGATGACATCATCATAGTATCCCAGTGTATTTTCCTTCATCTTCTCTTCTGCATCAACACACAGCATGTTAAGCTGAGATATGTTCATACTGGAGGTGAGTCATGTGATTAATTAAGAAGGTCACTGACCTTTTAGGCCACTGTTGCTGGTGACATCATCATAATATGCTGTTCTGAACTCTTTTTCTAAAGAGGAGAGCAAACTGTTAATATTTATTGTAAATAAAGAGTGATGTTTCAGTAGTATTGAGGCATTTGTTATATTTAATACGTTATATGTTAACAAAACACATTCATCCTACATTTGTTCATGTTTTAGTTTGAATTCAGTGCAAAAAAATATTAAAAACGGAGTGAAAACGTGCTTTATTCTCAAACCTGAGAGAAGATCATCAGCGTCTTCATACCCAGAATGCAGTTCTTCAGAGATGAGACTCTCTGTTAAAAGAAGAGCAGAAGAATCAGAAACATGCTCATCATTAAAGACTGAATGCTCATTTACTTGATTATAAAGCATTTTGTTAATAAAAACACAGCAAAAAATATTAACTATTTTGATTTTAAAAGCCTTAGAAACAGAAAACACATGATTAATGTTGAAAACACATGATTTTATGTTGGCCTTAAAAACAAACTCTCATGTATCCTCATATGAACCCATTAACAGTATCTCTGCTTTCCAGATATAGACACAGGAAGAAACAAAAGCATGCGCGCACACACACACACACATGTAAACATGCACCTGCAGCTCTGTGGTTTTCTGTCAGGAATTCTGTGGTTTAATGCAGGAGGTTTAACAGGCTAATAATAAACGAACATCAACTGTCTACAGACTCTCTTATTAATCATATTAAATGAGATTGAAGCTCATGTCTCACCCCTGTGAGTAAAGTGTTTGTGTTTGTGCTGAATCTCCTCATAAACGGCCTCAGTGGTGGTCCTGTGTCTCCTCTTAGAGAGAGCTGTGAGTGTCGACACACAAACCTGCTGTCAGTTCACAACACATGACTGATCACACACTGAAGAAGACACAATATGACAGTCTCTGGATCTCTCCTACCTCTCCTCATCACTCTGTTCTGCTTAATCACTATAAGCAGCGGCACTAAGAGCAGTAAGAGCACAACTCCCAGAACAATCAGCAGCACTGGGGGGACTGGGAGACTTTCTCGACCAGTTTGTGGAGGAGAGACTGATGTTGAGCTCACTGTCTGAGAAACTGCAGCAGAAGATGATGCTGATGTGGCAGGAGTAGTGGACACTGATATATCCGGCAAGTCTATTAAAATAGATTCAAAACCATACAAATAACTGAGTTTAATAAAAAACTACTATCACTAAAATTGTTTTAAAAATCTGTCAGTGACCTGCACAGGTGAGTCCAGCGTGCTCTTTGTGGGAGCAGTTAGTGTGCTTCTTCAGGGAGAGAGGACAGTCCCACAGGTGAAGCTCATTCCCTTTGCACTGGACTCTGTTCAGCCACACAACACCTTCACCAGCACCAAAGGCTGAATTCCCATCAGCCCTCAGTGCTGCTCCACACCCCAGCTGTCCGCAGACCACCTGAGCATCGCTGATGTCCCAGAGATCATCACAGACTGAGCCCCACACAGCGTTATGATACACCTCCAGCCTCCCAGAGCACCGGCCGTCCCCTCCACGCAGTCTGAGAGGAACATGAGCTGAAACACACATCAACTTCACTGATCTGCTGCAGCACATTTACAACAATACATTTGTAACAAAATTAATAAATATTTAAAATTAGAAACTTGAGTTATAAATACAGTTCAGTTTAAGGTTGTAAAATAATTTAAAGTGATGATAATAAATTCATTAAACCCTTACTTGAACACTTTCTCTGATGAGAAGATGGTGAGGTGGAACATGTTAGAAGACTTCGAGGAGACTCATGAGTCTGATCATCTGTGAATAAAGAAGTTAAAATACAATAAACAGTCATATTTAAATAAACTTGACCATTTCATATCATTTTAAATAAGTAAAAAATGTTACCTGAGCAGGTGATCTTAGCCACTTCATTATCACAGTCATTCTGTCCCCAGGCTGCAGATGGACACTGCCATAACGTGGAATCATATCTTCGACATTTAAGTTTATCGAGCCAATTATGAGACTTTAGTCCTTTTGAATTACTGGGTTCACTGCCAGATCTTCCACAGTTCAGCTCTTGACAGATCAGACTTGCTGTGTCTCTGTCCATCTTGTTGTAACACACATTTCCCCAGGATCCATTGTAGAAAACCTCCAGATTCCCTTCACAACCTTCAGTTAACCTGATCTCTTTATACTCTGAAGGAAAAAGAATGAGAATCAACCTCAATCAACCTGAATATTTCTCTTGTGTTGAATGGAAAATTAAACTTGTACAAATTGAAACTTGCAGGTTATTAACTGATAAGTGCATTTGCATTTTCATTTGAATTATTTTTATTTTATAATATTGATAGACCAAATGCAGGCAACACGGTGGCTTAGTTGGCACTGTCGCCTCACAGCACGAAGGTCACTGGTTTGAGTCCTGGCTGGGCTAAGTGGCATGTCTGTGTGGAGTTTGCATGTTCTCCTCGTGTTCCCATGGGTTTCCTCTGGGTGCTCCAGTTTCCCCCACAGTTCTAAGACATGCGTTATAGGTGATATGGATAAACAAACCTGGCCGTGAATGTACAGTTGAAGGCAAAATTATTAACCCCCGTTTGAATTTTTTTTCTTTTTTAAATATTTCCCAAATGATGTTTACAGAGCAAAGACATTTTCCCAGTGACAATGTTTTTTCTTCTAAAGAAAGTCTTATTTGTTTTAATCCGGCTAGAATAAAAGCAGTTTTAATTTTTTTTAAAAACATTTTAAGGTCAAAATTATTAGCCCCCTTAAACTGTATTTTTTTTTTTCAATAGTCGACAGAACAAATCATCATTATAAAATAACTTGCCTTATTACCCTAACTTGCCTAGTTAAACTAATTAACCTAGTTAAGCCTTTAAATGTCACTTTAAGCTGTATAGAAGTGTCCTGAAATCTATTTAGTAAAATATTATTTACTGTCATCATGGCAAAGATAAAAGAAATCAGTTATAATAGATGAGTTATTAAAACTATTATGTTTAGAAATGTGTTGAAAAAGTCCTCTCTCCGTTAAACAGAAATTGGGGGAAAAAATAAACAGGGGGGCTAATAATTTCAGAGGGCTAAAAATTCTGACTTCAACTGTATATGTGTTTTCCAGTACTAGGTTGTGGCTGTAAGTCTGCTGTGTAAAACATTTGCTGAAATAGTTGGCGACCCCTGAAAAATAAGGTCGAAGGAAAATAAATAAATTAATAGAACAAATGCATAATGCATAGCTATATGGTCCTTTGTGTCATTCAACGAAATTTACATACATGAATTCATGAACACCTCGAATTTAAGTGTTTTGTTGAAAAATTATCAAATAGTAAATAACTATATTTCGTCCACATTAAAACATTTCAAAAAACCTGTGCCAGTGAAAAAGTAAAATCAAATTTACATTAATTGAAATTTTCAAAACAACAAGTTATAAAATATTGTTCACCAGAGCAGATGACTCCTACATCCTCCTTGTGTTTACAGTCATGTTTTCCCCAGCCTGGAGAAGAGCAGCTCCACAGGGACGTCTCATTCCCCTCACACTCCACCTCATCCAGCCATATGGGTCCAGAACCAGGACCAAACCAGGCTGGTACCTGCTGGTTACTGAGGGCCACTCCACACTGCAGCTGTCTGCACACCACATGGGCATCTTTAATATCCCAGGAGTCGTCACACACTGTCCCCCATGAGCCGCTGTGAAAAACCTCCAGCCTCCCTGCACAGTCTCCCCCAGAACCCACCAGCCTGATGGACCCACGGCCTGATATTCAGAGAAAGAAAATCAGTGCTTGGACTTGGACAGTTTTGCTAATAACTAGAAAAAAAAACTGAGCAAATCTTTCTTTTCTCACCAAAGTTTGAGATTGACAGCTGTTGTGTGGAGCTGCAGTTGAGAGTTTGTGGAGAGCTGCAGTTCCTCAGATGAGCTTTACTGTCTACAGAAAGTATTCTTTGTCAGTAAATTTTATTTGACGATGAATTCACTACAGTGTGGATGTGCTTACTAGAGCAGATGACTCCAACATCTCGTCTATGAGAGCGTTCAGCTCGACTCCATGAAGAGATTGAACATTCTGAGATTTTTGTTTCATTCCCGTCACAATCAAACACATCAGCCCAGATTTCACCACTTCCCTCTCCAAACCAGTCTGATCCCACAACAGACACAGCAATCCCACAATTCAGCTGTTTACAGAGGACACTGGCAGCTCTCATATCCCAGCATGCATCACACACTGTGCCCCATTCACTGAAATACTGAAGCTCCACTCTTCCAGAACAAGAGTCTGAACCATTGACCAGTCGGAGATCTGTGTAACCTGTGCAAATAACTCAACGGTTATATAAACAGTAGTTTGAGTTCAGAGAACAGTAATAAAAGTTAGGGTTTTCAATCTCATTGATGCCATGGACCTCCCAAATATAATCATTATTTTGTGTGGGTGATCTCAGTCTTAAAATATAAACTGAATCTACAATAATTGCTGTTTTAAAGTTTAATTGATAACATGAAAATATATTATTATGAACAGGCATAAATGTATTAAAATTACCTAATAATATTTATGTTTATATTACATTTATTTTTTTTTACATTTAACAACCCTAGTAGCAAAGAATTCTGGCCCAGATTTGGCATAAAGCTGGCACAGCAGGCATTCATCCGGCACTGGCATACAGCATGTGGGCCAAACATGGCCCGGGTTTGGCAGAGGTGGTACCGTCTTTAAGGCGGCACACAAGATTTGGGCCAGATGAAAAACGTAGTATTTGGCCCAGATTTAAAAATTTGATAAGTGGGCCATGTGAGTTTGGCCAGTCTTGACCCACATTTAAAATACACTAAAATAATTTTTGAGTAAAGAAAAAAAATTCTACCAATCAGGTCACTTTGAGAAAAAGCGTGCCCATAGTGTGCTTAAAGCGCATCACTCCATGGGTTTATCAATTTCATTGCAATCGTGACACACCAACCTATCTGGCCCAGTTCAGGTCCAGTTATGAGTTATTAACTTGGCTGAGACTTGGCCCAGATATGGTCCGTGTTTGGCCCTTGTCTGGAAGCCAGATTTGGTCCAGTCATGTACCGTAATTCACTGCGGCATGTGGGCCAAGCAAAATCTGATTGTGTGGGCCAGAGCTGGGCCAGAGAAATTTTGCTATGTGGGAAAGTACTGATCTTATTTATTTATTTATTTCCAAATACACAGTCCTAAGACATGCGCTATAAATTAATTAGATAATTGAGACAGTGTGTGTGAGAGTGTATGGGTGTTTCCCAGTATTGGGTAGCGGCTTAAAAGGGCACCTGCTGCATAAAAAATATGCCGAAATAGTTAGCGGTTCATTCTGCTGTGGTGACCCCTGATAAATAAGGCACTAAGTTAAATAACAAAAATGTTTTTTTCATTTCGTTTAAATATTTTCATTTATTCATTCATTTATTTTAATTAAATCATTACTAATATATTATTGTTTCCAATAGTTATTTGTTGTAATGATTAAGTAAATCATATTTTTATTTTTCAGAACATTTGCATATGCTTTTATTTAAACATTGAAATTCACTGATTGAAAACCCCTAATATATATTATGTATATATAATTTATTTAAAGAATATTTATACTCAACCAGAACAGATCACTCCAACATCATTGTCATGGGAACAGCCTCGCTTCTGTGTTGAGGACTTTGGACAGGTGTGAATCTGAGACTCATTTCCACTACACTGAATCTCCTCTGACCAAACATGATCTTTCCCTTTGCCAAAAGCAGCAGCTCTCAGCACCTGTACAGGAGACCCACAGCCCAACTGTCTGCACACAACCTCTGCATCCTGCTGGTCAAAGGCAGCGTCACACACTGAACCCCAGGTGTTGCCAAACATCACTTCTAATCTCCCAGAGCACAGATGAAACTCATTCACAAGCCGAAGTCCTTGTCCTATTATAAATTATTCATTTATAAAGAAAGAAAATTCATTATATAGCTTTACTTACATAGAGAAGCAGTGAATAGTAACAATAATTGTTTTTGACATCGTATTTCATTAATTTACTTAATCTGTACTATCTGTGTCTAAAATTTGACCATTCATTTGTTTTTTTAGAATTGTTATCACATGAATGATGTAAATAAGATTGTCATGTTAGACTGTAGATATATCGACATGTTTACTGAAGATTTCCTCAAAAGTTTATTATATGAAAATAAGGATGAGGATGAATATACTGTATTTTCATGAACAAAACAATTAAACTGATTCGCTGCTTTAAAAGGTAGCATTGGTAGTTTGTTGATCATATATATCTGACACATTATACAGCTTGAGTGAGAATTATGAAAGGAAGTGTTGTAACAAGAGGCTGAGGTTTGGGGCAGCTTACCTGAACAGATCACACCAGCATCTTCAGCATGATTACAGAAACCTGTATACCTGTTTGATTTACAGTCTTTCAGTGAAGTCTCTGATCCACGGCAGCGTACATAAGCCATTGAAATTGATCCTGTTCCTTGTCCAAAGTGAGCATTATATGTTGGTGTTACAGCCATTCCACAGTCCAGTTCTCTACACACCACTGCAGCATCAGCAACATCCCAACCCCGTTGACACACTGTTCCCCACTGACTTCCAAGAACCTCCACTCGACCAGCACAGGGGTTATTGCCGTTCACCAACCTCACATTTACACTGTCTACACAAAAGTAAGACATTTAATAAAAATATCAACAGTAGTTTGCAAAGTATGACATTACACATAAATTAAATCATTGACAAACAATTTTTGAGCCTTGAGTAATGTACACTACTTACCAGATGTGATGAGTTTTACAGTAAACATCAAAAGCATCAGCATCAGTTTCCCCATCATATCCTCCAGCACAACACAAACTATTTCATCAACTCAGAACACATGCATAAGTTTCTTCTCTGCTCAGACTGAAGAAAGTGTCTCCTGTGAGCTCCTAAAGAGAGCGACAGAGACTCACAGCTGCCAATGACTCTCACTGTTACCTTATTAGACACAACAGAGGAAATCATCAAACACAATCAGTGACAAATCAGAAAGCAGCATTTGGATTTTCTCCATATATATCAATAAAGTGTGAGCGCTGATGAGCGGGACTCCTCCTCCAGCGTCAAGAAGAGACACTTCACTGAGGACAGACTTGTGTCAGTCAGAAGTCAGCCTGGAGATAAACACACTGAACTTAAAGCAGATCGAGAAACACTAAAGATTATATGATGAACACAGCAGATACAAACACAGATGAATAATTTTTGTAAGTCTGAACACTCTTCAAATACTTACATCCTATAAAAAATAATTTATAATGACAAATTTTAATAAACGTTTATTTTTTTTTACCAGGATTTTCCTCTGTAAATTACATAAAATATTACTGTCAGTTTATTTTACGTTTTCTTTTATTCTAATCATGATAACAATACAGTATAATTACACCATAGTATTAAATATATGGCTTATAAAGCTATTTACATTTTTGTATAAAATACATTTAAAATATCTATCATTGTTTATTTCAAATATTGTATTATAAATATTATATTATATTACAAATATTTAATATTTATCATTATTATTATCAAAAATTATTATCATTCATTCATTTTCCTTCAGCTTAGTTTTTTTTTTTTTCATATCAGGGGTCGCCACAGCAGAATGAACTGCCAACCTATCCAGCATATGTTTTACGCAGCAAATGCCCTTTCAGTACTGGGAAAATATTATTATTATTATTATTATTATTTTTAAAATAATACTTATAATAATAATGCTACTACTACTACTCCTACTACTACTACTACTACTACTACTAATAATAATAATAATAATAATAATAATAATAATAATAATAGCTGTGATAATATAAATACTGATAAATACAATTAATAAAAACAGCAATAAACATGTCTGTGCAATATTATATTTGTCCACCAGATGGCAGCAAAACATTACATATTTTACAGCTGGGCAGACAAGACTTTAGCGTCTGTTTCGCCACTTGAGGGCGCATCCATTTATTTTGCAGACAGCAACCGTTTTCTTGTAATATATTGCGATTTCAGTTGTCTAACTTTTAATATTTACTAATTTAAATAGGCGTGTTATTATATTATTATTTACATATGAGTTTAGCAAAGACATAATGATAAGAATAAAATCTGAAAAAAGGATTAAGTTATACAAAATAAAGTCAAACAAACAAACCATTAAACAGTTTTAAACTTACACAAATGATTCAGATTATTTTGACATGCTGATGTGTCAACACAGTAAACATTAAAATCTCCTAAAACCCTGCGATGCGTTCATTTAAAAAAACAATAGCAAAACGCATCATTTTGTCTTTGTCCTCCCATTGTTCTCAAATTATTTTCCAACTGTATATTTAGACCTATCAACTATGTTATTTAGGAACAACCATCAGGGGCCTGTTTCAGTTAAAAGGTTCAAACAATTATTCTATATTTATTTATTTATTTATTTATTTAGCTATTTATTTATTTATTTAGTTAGTTGGTTAGTTAATTAGTAAGTTTACTTATCTTATTGTAATGCTTGCCTCATCTTTGCAGTGATGCCCCTCAGTGAGTTCTCTTTCTTCGTGGTCTCACATCTGGAATATACTGTAATCTTCAAATTCTGGTGTTACTGGTTTATGACCACCATCACAGACTGCTTAAATTAATGTTGTTCCTGATAATAACCATATTCCGTAAACAAATATATACTAATACTCATGTTCTGACAAGTGAGCTAAATAATAAAAACGACTTCCTCCCTTTCAGTGACTGCGCAAGATGTGCACGCGCGCGCTCGCACATGAGTATTTAAACCAAAGTAACGCTGGCTGTTCACAACATTCATGCACAGGATTCATCAGTTTATACTAACTCTTCTGTAGGGATACACCTAGTAAAAGATGGTTTTGTTGTTCAGGTAGGAACTTTATATCTGTATGTATGTATGTAACTATAGGCTTTTATTTATTTATTTATTTACTTTGTTATTTATTTATTCAATAATTTATTTACTTATTTATTAATGTATTTAACTTTAAAAAAGTAAAAAACTAGACTGGGAATTTAAACTTATGGCCTGCACATATGCAAAAGTAATCTACATTTAATTCTCAAAGTCTTAACATTCTTAAAGATGCAAAGGATTGTTAACATGTTGCACTTTTTCACTTTCCTCCAGATGGGACCCACATCAGGGATTGAATACATCACTGAGTTATGACTCCTGAATTGAGTCTTTTACTGGAGTTAATTTCATTGAACTGTCTCATCTGTTGCCTTCTTCATCTGTTGGTCAAGATAAACTGAGCTGTGATCATGTCAGAGACTGAACATGTTAGAGTCAGACGGGTCCTAAGCAGTGGATCAGTCAAGAATGAGAAGCAGCCGAAGCCACAGCCAAGGAAATGTGTGAAGAAGGAGGCAGGATGGGGACAAACTGACATGGTGGACAAATTAAAGGATTTCTTCCACATCTGTGACAGTGAGGGAAAGGGCTTTATCACACGCACTGATATGAGGGTAAAGAATCCTTAAAGTCCTTAAAGCACATATTCTCACCACTTATTTATTTATTTATTTATTTATTTATTTATTTATTTATTTATTTATTTATTTATTTATTTGTTTGTTTGTTTATTTGTTTGTTTATTCATTCATTTGTTTGTTTGTTTGTTTGTATATTTTTGTACTTAAAATTTTTATTTTGTTTTATATATACAGTTGAAGTCAGAATTATTAGCACAGCTTTTTTGATATTCACTATATTATATTTAACAGAGCAAGGACATTTTCACAGTATGTCTGATAATGGTTTTTCTTCTGAAGAAAGTCTTATTTGTTTTATTTCGGCTAAAATAAAAGCAGTTATTAATTTTTTAAACACCATTTTAAGGACAAAAGTCCTTAGCCCCTTTAAGCTAACTTTTTTTTGATAGTCTACAGAACAAACAATCATTATACAATAACTTGCCTAATAACCCTAATCTGCCTAGTTAACCTAATTAACCTAATTAAGCCTTTAAAAATCACTTTAAGCTGTATAGAAGTGTCTAGAAAAATATCTAGTCAAATATTATTTACTGTCATCATGGCTAAGACAAAACAAATCAGTTGTTAGAGATGAGTTATTAAAACTTTAATGCTTAGAAATGTGTTGAAAAAATCTACTCTCTGTTGAACAGAAATTGGGGAAAAAATAAACAGGGGTTCCAATAATTCAGGGGGGCTAATAATTCTGACTTCAACTGTATATATATGTTTTTTTTTTTTACTTTTTTCAATTAATTAAATTACATTTTAGTATTATTATTATTTTTATGTATTTTTGCTTTTTATAATTTTATTTTATTTATTTATTTAGTTTTTTTTATTTATAATTTATTTTAATTTAATATTATTTAATTTTATTCTATATTTTAATATTACTATTAGTAGTAGTAGTAATAATAATATTTACAATTATTTGCTATATATTTTTTATATTTATATTTTATTGTTTTATTTTATTTTAGTGTTTTTTTATTAATTAAATTACATTTTATTGTTGTTGTTGTTTTAAACTATACAGTTCTATTCAAGTGTTGTGTGCACTCAAGTGTACGTTATTAAATATGGTATAAGTTTATATATGTATGTATTCAAAGTATTCTCTATTTTTTTCTAAAATACTGAGGGTGCATACTTTATGTTACATTACATATTTTATATATTATATTATGACTTTTATTAGTACAAGATATGGTGGTAGAATCTCTAGAGTACAGAAAATAATGTTAACCCATGCATTTATTGAGTATATATTATTATTCTCCCCTTTTTAGAGACTACACAAAGAACTGCCGCTTACTGCTGAGGAACTTGAGAATGTCTTTGACTCTTTAGACGTCGACAAAAATGGATTTCTGACACTGGGAAAGTTTTCCTCCGGATTCAGTAAGTTTCCAGTCAAGCAGAACTACTTAAAAGTCATTTACTATTTATTATACAGGTCACATTAAGCACATTTATATAAATGCAAATGCACATTAAATGCCAATGAAGTGTCTGCTGTAATGTTTCAAACTGACCCTAAAATAAAGTGTCAAAATACGGATTAAATAATTTTATATTATTATTCAACTCAACATAAGTTTTTAGTTAAATTTAATCAACAAACCTTTTCTGATCATAATAATTAAACCATTATGAATATGTCTTATATTATATGCATTGTGTAATATTTTATCCAGTCTACTTAATACGTGATTTTTGCATCTGGCAACAATTAGTTGGTATCTATTGATACACTGAGTAAGATTTTAATTGATGTCTTCTGCAAGTCATGGAAAAAATCTTGCTCTATAATAGTCATGATTTATACCTAAAGTTAAACATATTAAACAACCAATGTTTTTTTATATTAAACAAACAGACAAAATGAATGCTCTATTACATTCATTCATCCATCCATCCATCCATCCATCCATCCATCCATTCAATCCAAAGTCTATGTCTTAAATGTTCCCTAGGTAGCTTTCTTCATGGACGCAGAGTCTCTATGACAGAGGAACTAACCACTACACCTTCTCAGAAAGCTCCAGAAGCTGCTGGTCAGAGTTCAGAGGATGAACAGGTGATGAAGACAATAGAGGACGATGAAGAAAAACACTTCAGCATGTTGATGGAGAGCCTGGGGGCCAGCAATGTGTTTGAGGAGTCAGTACTGATATCTTTACACTTTATATATACACTTTACAATTACAGTTACTAAACACACAGGTGAAGTCAGAGTTATGAGCCCCCTTCAATATTGTTTCCCCAATTTTTTTTTAAGGAAAGGAGATTTTTTTCTCAGCACATTTCTAAATATAATAGTTATAATAACTTATATAATAACTGATTTCTTTTATCCTTAATATTTAAAAAAGAAAAAGAAATTCAAAGGAGGGCTAAGCATTTTTGACTTCAACTGTGCTGTAGATGCATTAACAAATCTCTCTTTCATTCAGCCCTAGTGAAGTCAGAAGTCTGTGGGCCCAGCTCAGAAAAGATGAACCTCACCTCTTATCCAACTTTGAAGAGTTCCTGTCCCGTGTCACATTTCAGATCAAGGAAGCACAACATGAGAGAAAGGAGATGGAAAGCGCCCTCAGGAGGTAACAACATGCATGAATTGTGAGCATTAGCATGTTTAGGAGCCGGTAATCTGCTTTGTATTCTTAATTGTCTACAATGGTAAATAATCTCTGCTTAAAGGCTTAATGTAATGCGCTATAGAATGCTGCTCTATAGCCTTCTCCAGTGACCGCTAAGCTGAGGAGTTAACCAAGTTTTTACATACTTTTGGGTGGGAAATAAAGGGTATTTTGTATCAAATCTAGGTCAGAATTATGTGGTCTGCAACATGTGCTGTTTAAATGTTTTTTTTCCCTCAAATATATGTGTTTGTGTGGCATAGGCTCCACTGAGTTTTTTTATAGACTCTAAAAACTCGACAAATATAATTAAATTATTATCTAACAGAATCTGAATGTCTGAGCCAGTGTTTTGGAATGCAAATACTGTACGGGTAATTTAATTAGACTAATTTTTGAGGTAATATTATGTCACGTTTTTTAAAAAAAAATATTTTTTTAAAATAAATATATGATTTACATTGTCATATTGTGCAGGAAAGCAGTCACACATGACACTGAAATTCAGAGATTGTATGAGGAAATGGAGCAGCAGATCATAAATGAAAAAGATCGAGCAAATCTGAAGGTAAAATAAGACTTTACTGTTGACACTTACTCAGAAGTTTGTGCTCAGTCTTTTTTTAAAGAAAATTATTTATTCATTTTCCTTTGGCTTAGTCACTTATTTATCAGGGGTAGCAACAGTTGAATGAACCACCTACTATTCCAGCATATGTTTTACGCAACAGATGCCCTTCCAGTCGCAACCCATTACTGTGAAACACTCATGCACTCTGGCATTCACAAACACTCTCATACACTATGGCCAATTTAGCTTACCCAATTCAGCTATAGCCCATTTCTCTGGACTGAGGCGGAAACCAGAGCAAGAACATGCAAACTCCACACAAAATGCCAACTGGCCCAACCGAGACTCAAACCAGTGACCTTCTGGCTGTGAGGCGACATTTCTAACCACTAATTCAACGAGCTGCCCTTAAAAGAAATATATACCTTTATAACATTCACATTTGATTCATTAAATTGCTCAAATGGTCAGTAGACAAATTTTGGGTTAATAAATGCATTTTTTTGTTATTATTGCTCATCAAAGAATCATTAAAATATGCATAATTGCTTTATAAAAGCAGCATTTTTTAAACATTTATAATAATAATAATATAAAAAAGTTCTAAACGGATTTTTAAATGTTATGACAGTAGCCTCGGATACTGACACAGCTTTAAAATAAATAAAAATTTGAAATATGTATAATAATAAAATAATCATTTTTAATAATAATAATAATAATAATAATAATATCTCAGAACATTAGTGCTTTTACTAGATTTTAATCAAGTAAATGTGAAATTGATGAGTTCAAGACACTAGTTTAAATATATATATATATATATATATATATATATATATATATATATATATATATATATATATATATATATATATGTATAGTTTATTTATTTATCTATTTGTTTATTTTACTTTTGAATGATAAATGTGCGGCAATGGCTTAGTGGTTAGCACTATCGCTGTACACCAAGAAGGTTGCTGGTTTGAGTCCGGGCTGGGCCAGTTGGCAGTTCTGTATGGAGTTTGCATGTTCTCCCCGTTTTTGGGTGGGTTTCCTCCGGGTGCTCCAGTTTACCCTACAGTCCAAAGACATGTGCTATAGGTGAATTGGGTAAAACAAAATTGGTCCAAGTGTACAAGTGTGTGTGTGTGTGAATGTAAGTGTGAGGGTGTTTCCCAGCACTGGGTTGCGGCTGAAAGGGTATCCACTTAGTTGGCATAGTTTGTGGTTCATTCTGCTGTGATGACCCCTAATAAATAAGGGACTAATCTGAAGGAAAATAAATGAATAAACGATAATGTTCATACATTTGGTATTGTCCACTCAGTGTGAGCCAAATTAACTATAATACAGACTCCAACTGTGCATATTTGATCTCTTCATCTCATTTTGGATTATCATGGGTATATTATGTAGATTAAATCAGTCTAATCTGAAATTTATTCACATATTAATCCTCCAGGACTCTGAAAGCCTGCAGATACGCAGTCAGGACCTACAGCAGCTGCTCCGTGGCAAAGAACAAGAATTGGAGCAACTTTTCCAAAAACAGAGGAGGGTGAGTGCTATTGAACAGTCATCATTATTTACAGTATACTCAACCTCATGCTTTTTTTCAACTCAACCCTTTGTGTGTTGATCTGATCAGCTGGAGCGTCAATGTCGAGACCTTCACAGTGAACAGCAGGAGAGTCGACTGGAGAACGTGAAGCTGAAAATGAACAATGAGGAGCTGTCCCGTGACCTGGAGCACACCTGTGAAGAGCTGGTTCTGGCTCAGGAGCAGCTGGCCATTCTGCAGGAGCAGGCCTCGCGACTGCAGGAGGAAAGAGAGATGTCAGTCTGTGCATGTGTTTTATATTCATGAGTAGAGATCTGCTTTGTATCTTTGAGTTATGTGCACATATATTTTTTTTTCCAAAGGGAGATGTACAGAGTCACTGAAGGCTTGCAGAGGGAAAAACAGAGCTTGATGAAACAGCTGGATCTGCTCAGGTGAGACTGACACACACCTGTATGAAGCAGACAAAACAAACTAAACACTCAAATGATTTGGTTTTCTTGCAGAGAAATGAACAAGCATCTAAGAGATGAGCGAGATATCAGCTTTCTGGTAAGTTAACTGATTTTATTTATAATTTTTTTATTTCAATATATCACGTTTAATCTTTATTTTACTACATATTTTAAAATATTTTTATAAAACATATCTATTTTAATTAACATTTATTTCAGATTCAGGTAAGTTATAATAAACAGAAATGAAATAATGAAATAATAATTATTGCAATAATAAAAAAAGCATTTTAAATAATAAAATGTAATATTTAAAGTAAATATATACTTTATATTCAATTTAAATATTAAAAACATTTGTTTTTATTTATTTATATTTATAAAAGTTTGAAAAACTGATTAATATAATAATATAAATATATGTAAAATTGAAATATTACAAATTTACTTACAAATTTGGGTAAAAAAACTAAAAAACTAAATTTTTATCTTATATAAGACACATACAGTAAATTGTTATATGTTTAATAAAATAAAAATTTTATTTTATAATGACTTCGTAAAATTCAATAATTTACTGTATGTGCCTGTTATATTAAGTAAAAAAAAAAAAAAAGTTCAAACCAGCGACCTTCTTGCTGTAAGGCGATCGCGCTACACTCTGTGCCACCTTGATGTCTCATATTTTTTAGATATGCAAATTTTGTGTCTTTGTTTAGATTTTATTTTAATATGTTTCGTTTTACTTTTCCTGGAAAAAGATCAAAATATAAGTTTGGACAATAAAATATAATATTATAATAATGTAAATCTCCTATTTTGCAACAGAAACGCAGTAATTCAATGAAGAAATCCTCTCGCAAGCATAGAGTGAGCGCATCCTCAATAAAATACACTGAGAGGAAACCATCCGTCAGGAAGTGAGAAAGCCTTCACACTCTCTATACTAATTAATAGCTACATGTACTAATTAGCAACATATAAACTTTGACTCTCACCTCTTTCTCTGTCATTTCAGAGAAGTATCTAAAGAGGAAGTGACTCAGCGCTATAACAGGAAGCCCTCCTCTCCAGCAAATACCTACTGTTCACCCTTCACCACAGGGGATGATAGGAAGGCAGATGTGGATGGGAGATCTCAGAAATTAACTGGAGGCTCAGAAAATGTGAATGTTGGGGAGGATGTGGAGGACGGACCACCAGATGGTTGGCCTCTACGCAGAGTCATATCCATCGAGGAAGACCACCTTCCTCACCTTCTGCAAGGGGACCCTCATCTTCTTCTTCACCAGCTGAGTGAAGAGGAAGAAGAGCGAGCTGGAGAAGATGAAGCTCAGGGAGATCTGGAAAGCAGCTCGCTCTATCAGTCTAATGTGTCTCTGGCCTCTGCTGACTCTCCTCCTCCGGTCAGGATGAAGAAGCCATCTAAGAAGAGGTGGATCAGAGTGAACATGCCCTCATCTGCACGCGGTCAGCCTGTCGGGAAGGAGACCCTCCAGCAGGTCATCATTAGAGTAGTTCAGGAATTACAATGCTCCCACAAGATTTTCATATAAGTAATAATAACGATTGCGTACACTTTATATGTTCCTGCACCACATGAAGAGTTTTGATGCAAAAACCTTTAAATGCTGTCTAAAATTGTTCTCTAAAATGAGCATTTTTATCAGGCTCATGTGTGTATGTTCAGCAATATCACTTTTATGGCAAAGAATATGTTTTTTCCTGGTCTTTAAAGGGAAATATCTCAACATAAACAAAGTAGGTGGAGAAAAATCTTCATTTTTTATGGAAGTTTCAGACGGCATTTAGAAGTTTTTGCATCTGAGCTCTTTTCATAGAGTCCCTATTTATTATTTGAAGATATGCATTTTAAAAGAACACTTCTCATGCTTTTACTTTTGCCTTAGCAAGCATGTTTGTGTATGTAAACAATTTGCAAAGTAAAAAAAGTTTCAAACAAAGTATGTTAATCTCTATCAAATATTTATATATACATATTTCTGTGATTTACACTGCTACTGATTTTTGTAAATTACACATTATTTTACTGTAATATGAACTGTAAATTAATGTAGGACAATTATGCAGAATGGTACTGTATTTCATTGTTGCATTGGGAAATTTTACAGTAATTTACATTGTGATTTACAGTAAGTTACTGGCAAACTGCTGCCAGAAGGTTACTGTAAATTCTAAAAGAAATTGTTAACCGTGTATGTCACCATGTAACTCATTTGCACAATGTCTGCCTAAAGGCTGCTTTTAATCACCCAAAAGTGGCAAGTGGAATGTGATTGTTGATGGTGGAGCATTATAATTAGTTAAAATGGATGCATAACACTAAAAACAGACAACACTAACGTTTTTAAGGGAATTTTAGGCCCTGAATGCAACAACATTTAAAAGGCATTTGACAATTTGAAAATGATGCTGTTATTATTTAATTTTAAAAGGCGATTTTGTGCAAAAACTGTGACATTACATGCAATTGTCTCAGTCTATAGGTGTGTGAAACTACTAAACCGACTACCAAAGCAAAAATTGCCTCCTTAAAAGTGAAAATATTTACATAAAAGTCTTAAAAATAATTATTGTTTCATTTAAATATGAGCAAGAGTGAAAAGCGAGAGTTTTAGTGCAAGAAATGTGCTAGATTACAAGAACTTCAGGGCAAAGGTCTAAAAGATGCTGCATTGTAATGCAACTATTTCTTATTTGTAATTTTAAGAGGTATCTTTATGTATTTTGTTCAAATGCAGGGTCCCACAGAAGGTGCCACTGCATCTCCTCAACGCCTATTTAAGGTTATTCTGGTAGGAAATTCCAGTGTTGGCAAAACTGCACTGCTGCGCCGCTTCTGTGATGGACAGTTTCATTCTGCCACCTCGGCCACTGTGGGTAAGCTGAGATTTACAGTTAAACTTTGGAGAGTTGACTGTTTAACACATGCAATGATGGATTTTCAGGTAAAAACAATTTGGTCCTTTAAATAAATTTTCCTTTTTTTGAGTTTATCTTGTTTTATCAGGTTTAATTAATTCTGTTGTGGGAAATGTTACAAATTTCATAGCATTTGACATCTAAATATTCCATATTATTGCTGTGCATGTTATTACTTCTTAAAGGCTTTTCAGAGCATTAAATATGTGTGTTACTTAAAGCTATGCCAGACTGCTATAATGGAGTTCTTAAAGCAGGCAGCATCACATGAGAGAGCTTGAGAAGTCACACTCTCTGCATTTAAACCTGGCTCACATAGCACAGCAGATTATGTCAAACACCATCAGTTCACATTCTAGACCATTTCTCCCTAGACTTAATAAATCTGAGCAAAACAAAGATGAATTTGACTGTAGTATCAGAAATTAAACCAAATTCTACTAATATGCATGTCGTGTATTTTTATGTTCTCTTATTTGTATAATTTGACCTGTTCACTCAGTTACCTTTACATGCACACATATACACACACACCTGCCTGTACCTGTTTTTATTCTCTGTAACTGTTCTGATTTCCATTTGTAAGTCATTCCTTGCCTTTTTTTAACCTATTTGCAAAATAATAATTTACAAAAAAATAAAAAAATACTAACAAAAACTAAACTTAATAAAAAACCAAACAGCATCCACAAAAATTACGCTGAACTTTCTGTTCCAAATTAATATTCAGTCAATGCTATTTTGTTGTCTTTATAATATTTAGTTTAATATTAATTTTAATAATGCAGTGACAACTTTCAGTTTATTCCTAAAGTTTTCATTAACAAATGCACACTTTGTAGTTTATTTGTAAAATGAATCTAAATTAGAGGCAAATTTCTCTGTAAAATATGTAAAGAGTAAAAAAAAATGTGGATTTTATTTTTTTATTGGAGCAGAGTTCATTAACAGATGTTCAAATGTTCAAGATAATTATCAAATGTTACTCAACAGTACACTCTAGTGGCCATAATGGGGTAATTTTCATTTTTAAAATTTATATCTAAACATTCAACTATAACTAAATATACAACTTTTGTTATTATACATACATATTAAGTGAATTTCAAGTGTTTTTTCTTTTGGAGTAGAGTAAATGTTACTCAGCAGTACACTCTAGTGGCTATGATGGGGTAATGGTTTGTTGTTGTTTTATAGTTTTATATTTTCCCTTTTTTAAATGTGATTAAACATATAACTATATCTAATATGCAACTGTTTTTATTATTTATGTATATATATATATATATATATATATATATATATATATATATATATATATATATATATAATGCATAAAGTGATTCAATGTTTTTTAAATACCCTACTTTTGTACAGGCATTGACTACAGTGTGAGAACACTCAATTTGGGGGACAGTCATGTGGCTCTTCAATTATGGGATACAGCAGGCCAGGAAAGGTGAGGCCCTGATAACATCATACTAACGTTTATTTATGTAATTTATAAATGCATTTATATAATTAATATCTTCCTATTTAGGGCATTAACATTCCCCATCAGTTAGCATGCTTTGTTTTTGTTCCTCAGTCTTTACACTTTAGTATTATCATTTCCACAGCTTATCATCCAGAGTAGTCTATAATACAACCAAATCATGATCTCACTGATGACAAAACCTCCAGCATGACTTACTCTGTGGCCTGCAGGTATCGCAGCATTACCAAGCAGTTTTTCCGCAAAGCTGATGGTGTGGTAGTCATCTATGACATCACAATGGAGGACAGTTTCAGCTCAGTTCGTCCCTGGTTATCCAGCATACAGGAGGCTGTGGGCGACCCCATCCCCGTCATGCTCCTCGGCAACAAATCAGATAAAGAGAATGAGAGAGAAGTGCAGACAAAAGAGGCTGATCTGCTAGCAGAGGTATGGATGTACACAATATATTACAGTACAACTAAATACTATGAAGGTTATTTATTTAATACGATGTCTTCACGCATAGACTTATAATATATCAATGTTTTTTAGGAAGCAAACCTGATGTTCTATGAGTGCAGTGCTTATACTGGAGCTAATGTGCTGGAGGCCATGATACACCTGGCCAGGTAAGAGGACTAATATCACACAATATAATGTTTTTGTATGTCATTTAGCCTCAATATTTGTAATACTTCTGACAGAGCTGGAACTCACACACAAAAAAGGGGGGTAATGAAACTGTGAGGCAGCTAACAGACAACAAAACAACCAAACAAAAAAAAAAAACAAAGATGATACCAAGAAACAATTTGGTTTTCCTTTTTATAATAAAAAAGATCAGCATGATATGTTTATATATTTATACTAAATGTATATCTGTTATACTTATTGCATACTGTGCAAACCTTATGTAGTATATTTACTTTGAAAGGTACAGGTGGCAGCCGTGTTGAGATCACATGACCTGCTACTTAAATATTATAATCAGATCAAATAAATGATGCAGAACTGTGGATTAGAAATAATAATAAGAATCATTATTATTGTTAATAATAATAATATTAATAATAAAGAAATAAATAAAAATAAAGTCAATTGTTACTTTTCATGGTTTAATAATTTATATATTCATTTATAAAATAATATCAGTATTATTTAGAGCTATTTCATTTCTCATATTTTTATTATTTTAACAAAAACTGATATATTTCAGAGTCCTGAGGGAACAGGAAGACAGAGTTTGGGTAAACACAGTCAGACTGGGGGATCAACCATTAAAGAAGAAAACCTGCTGCAAGTGACCAAATCAATATGCTTCATGTATCATCATGTATCAACCACACTATACTTAATGTAAATAATTTATTTTAGATGGAAAAAGGTTGAATTTACCCTCGCCTGAATCAAAAATGAACAGTGTAACATGTAAAAAGGCTTTTCCTGTCCATTTGGCAAAGAGCGTTGTATATCTGCGCTCATCTGATGTGTGTGTGTGCAACTGTATGTGAACTATAATGTAGTTTGAACAGTTTTTCACCTAAAATGATTTTTGTACTGTATATATTCTATTTGTTATTGTATAATGCAAACAAGTGTTAATTACAATAGCCATTCTTTTGATGGAGAAAAGAGTGTGATAAGTGCAAAATATCCAATTCAACCAGGTAAGCAAAAGCAAAGTAATTCAGAAGAAAATGTATTTTGTTTGTTGCTTTCCATTTATTTATCACATTATAGCCTCATTAAAATCCTCTCAAATCTTGCTAGCATCACGAAACTTGGATTTCAAACTGACCGGCAGATCTTTGTGAACAACAAGTGTTTCCAGGAACCATTTGCAAGGCAGTTTAGATGATGACGACAAAATAAAGCATCCAAATATACCTTATTGAAGGGGAGGAAAAAAGCCTTGGCTAAATTAAGAGTCAAACATTTTGTGCCTCGTTCGCTGTCTTCATCTGAACTGCTCTTGTTTTTACATGAATCAGTTTATATTCGCACATTCAGACTTTCCCGTTAATAATATCATTTATTATTAATTATTATTACTATTCAGAAAAGTATGGAAATCATATTATCAGCCAGCGACTTTCAAGGTGTACTCAGTGGGTTGCACAATCGCCTCACAGCAAGAAGGTTGCTGGTTCGAGTCTTGACTGGGCCAATTGGCATTTCTGTAGGGTTTGCATGTTCTCCCCGTGTTCGTGTGGGTTTCCTCTGGGTGCTGCGGTTTCACCAACAGTCCAAAGACATGCGCTAAAGGTGAATTGGGTAAGCTAAATTGGCCATAGTGTATGAGTGTGTGTGAATGTGAAAGTGTAGGTGTTTTACAGTACTGGGTTGAGGCTGGAAGGATATCCGCTGCATAAAACATATGCTGAAACAGTTGGGGGTTCACTCCACGGTGGCGACTCTCTGAATAAATCAGAGATGAGAGATTACCGCATTTTGTTGTCGTTTGAGATGGTGGCGGTAAAGAGCTGTCCTTTGAAGTCCAAGTCAGGCTAAAAAAGATCAGATCAAGATATTTCAGCATAAAACATATGCTGGAATAGTTGGCGGTTCATTCCGCTGTGGAACCTCTGATAAATTAGAGACTAGGCTAAAGGAAAATTAATGAATGACTGTCAAACATTGCTCACTGTCCCGGCTCAGGATGCACATAGCATGTTTATGTCAGGAATTGGTTGCTCTAACAAGGAGGCTAAAGACCATGGCCTCTACCTATCACTTCACTAGCTGGCCTTTGCTACACTCACCCCCCTAAACCTCACTCCCATCCGGGTAATGGCACCAATTTAACCACCCAACCCGCTCCAAGCTGGGATTGAGTCATAGACTTTCCGCATGGGAATTGGTTGCTCTAACAGGGAGGCTAAATACCATTGCCTCAAGCGTCTGTCGCTAAAGCACCTTTTAGAGGTAGGGAGGGAGGTTTACCTGCACAACACTTCACACGCTGGCCTCTGCTACACTTAGATGCGATTTCAGACAGAATATAATATATTTAAATATGTCAAAAGCTGTCACTGTTCAAAAATGAACGAATGTGCGAATATAAAACCCACTTTAACTCAATCAGACTTTCTTCAACAGGTAGTATGTGACAGTGACCTGACAGAACACGAAACCAAAAATACTCTCAAGTTAAAACACATTTAGTTCATCCTAAAAATAACAAATCCTGATGACTTAAAACAGTATAGTTGCTCTTAGAGGATCTTAGTGAGTGAATTTAAATAATAAGCAAAGCATAGAACATGCCAGCGGTCACTATATTAAACGACTCGACACAAACCCAATCAATATAAACACAATAAAAGCACTTAAATATAAGCAGAACAATCATTCATGCTGTTTTCATGTACGCACCCAAACTGAAGCCTTTTCAACGAGGCACTATAGTACGATTCCACATTGGCGTTATATACTGTTCGGTAACTCTTTCCCTATCTTTAAAGGTGAAATAAACACAGACTTTGACATTCTCAGACTCATTAGCAGTTACATTCAGAGTGATGTTTTTTTCAGTCTATCCTCTATGTGCATTTAAGAACGTGACATGTGATGACACTATTGCTTTTAGTGCTGGACTGGCACTGATGACATCACTGAGGTTTCCTGCCGTTCAGCAGCCTCTTTTATCCAGACACAGGCGGAGGGGGGACCTCTGCCGAATCGCTCTGGGAAACGCGGTCCCGGCTTTAGGATGCTGTGAGGGTTTTACCGCATTTTGTAGTCGTGAGAGATGGCGGCGTCGCAGAGCTGTCCTTTGAAATCCAACTCAAAGGTGAAGTCTAAGTCACGCTGAAACAGAGCAGAGAAAGATATTTCAGTGTTTTGTATCATTTGGGTTTTTCTTTGCAGTGTATTTACTATTGGTTTAATTTACAAGTAGGTTTCAGAGAAAAGGACAAAAGCCACCAGAGGGCCTCAGCACACTTCCAATTGAAAATAAGACAAAACAAGCTTAAAAACAGAACAAATAAGCAAATTATTTCTTATTTTAGGGCATTATAATACAATACAAATACTGTAAATACGAATGCAAAGTATCAATTTAATAAATAATCAAATTATTAATTGAATAAATATAATAAAAATCTGGTTAAACATGCTATTTGCGACAAACAAAATAAGCTAAAAGTCACTGAAATTTATGGCATTTAAAAAAAAATCTTTTCTGAAACGTAGGTTTTGTGGTAAAAATACATTTTCTTAAGGTTTTTAGAAATTGTATTAATTTCAGTGACTTAGATTATGTTGTTAGTCTTGAGAATAGCTTGTTTAATAGCACAATGTTTAAATTATATTTATTAGAAGATTTGCAATAATTTTGAAAGATTTTATTAGCGTTAATATTTGCAAATACAGTATTTCCAAAGGGGGAAGCATGATGGCTTAAATAATTAAAATAAGACAAAACAGGTTTACAATAAAAATAAAATAAGCAACTAATTTCTTATTTTAGTTCATTATAAGTTAATGCAAATATTAAAATCTTTCAAAATCATCGAACATCTTCTAATGAATCTAATTTTAAAATTGTGCTATTAAATGTGCTATTTACAAGACAAAGTAAGCTAAAAGTCACTGAAATTAATTTAATTTTAAAATATCTTTAAAAATGTAGGTTTTGTTAAAAATACACTACAGTCCTTTCATCAAGTTCCTAAATATTTTACCAGTTGCATGCTGCTATTTGCAAATAATTAAGTTAATAAAATCTTTCAAAATTATTGAGCATCTTCTACTAAATATCATTCAAAAATATTTAAACATGTTATTTCCAACAAATAAGGTAAGATAAAAATCACTGAAATGTATTGCATTTTTAAAGACAAAAAATATTTACAAAAATATATTTTAAAATGTTTTTAAAAATGTTATTAATTTCAATGACTTAAAAAATGTTTTGCTATTAAACATGCTATTTGCAAGACAAACAAAATAGCAGAAATATTATCTTACACCAAGTTGAATATCTGATCAGTTACATGCTGCTATTTGCAAGCTGGCCCAAAACAATGTAACATGAGATGCAACAAAGTTAAAATATGAAATGTGTTTCATGTTTTAAATTGTTAGTCCTAAAACTATTTTTATGAAAACACATTTTTGCAATATTTTTTTAGTTTATTCTAAGATTTTTAGATTGGAAGTTGCTGTTTGCAAGATGGCATAAATTGATTTAAAATAAGACAAAAAAAGGTGACGAAAATGAAAAAAATATATATATGATGAAAAAATAATTCAGTCTACTTCAAGTTCAAAAATAATTTAATTTAATTTAATTTAATTTAATTTAATTTAATTTAATTTTTAGTATATTAAATTAAGACAAAAATTCCAGCATTTTATTTACAGCTGAATAACTACAAAAAATATCCTGTGGGGGCTTCAAATTTTGCATTTGACAACCGACGTCCTTGGAGTCAAAATGTTTGACAGCCACTGTTCAGTATCAGATTTCCCACCTTCACCATTGACAGCCTCACCTCATTATTCTCATTGGGCCTCACAGTGATGCTGCCCAGTATTTCCTCTCCCCTGCGCACAGTTAAATAATCCTCCAGATAAAACACTGTCTGCTTCCAGTGAGTGCTGGGTGCGTCTGGGGCTGGAAGTCAATATACGACAATATACAGTTGAAGTCAAAATTATAGAGCAATGAATTTTTCACAATATTTCCTACAATTCTTCAGGAGAAAGTCTTATTTGTTTTATTTTGGCTAGAATAAAAGCAGTTTTTAATTTTTTAAAAACCATTTAAGGGTCAAAATTATTAGCCCCCTTAAGCAATATTTTTGACTGTCTTCAGAACAAACCATCGTTATACAATAACTTGCTTAATTACCCTAATTGAAATAATTAAGTATTTAAATTGCACTTTAAGCTGAAATTGGGGAATAATATACAGGGGGGCTAATAATTTTGACTTCAAGTGTATAACAACATACAACAACAGCTCACTTAGTACTGGATTCATCTGAAGAAGATAATTATAAGACACACAATAAGTGACATACCAGTGGAAAAGCCAGTCTTCTTGTGACACTTGGTGAACTCAATGTTAAAATACGTAACGAGAGCATGAACGTAATCGTTTCTCTGAATCTGCAGACAGAAAGCTGAGGTGAACGACAAATCCTCCGTCTTCACTGTGTAAATGTCCACCTCCTGAAAGAAATACATCACATATATCACACTTTAAAGAATATTCAAATAGAGATTATGACTGGCTTTCATATTTGTACTAACAAAGTTCTTTTGACGATCGGCCATGAAATACTTTAGCTGTGATGTAAGCTGAATGTGGTTTATGTTATATAGCCTTAACCCACACATCAGGACAGATCCTGTTTCAAAGACTATATTGTTTGGCTGTGGGTATATATTTGTGCCCGTATAAGTAGAGAAGTTGGCACAAGCATTGGCCTTGGTGAACAAAGATCCTCTTAGGCTTTGTGTGAAGAACAGATGAGTGGCAGCATTGACCCTTTCATTTGTTCAGTTCAGCCTTTCATTCAGTAAAGCTCACAGAGACTCATTCTGCTCTTCAAAGAGACTCAACCCTCAGGTGACTCAATGAAAACACAGACTTCTCTTTCAGTATGTTTTCTTTCTTTCTTTCTTTCTTTCTTTCTTTCTTTCTTTCTTTCTTTCTTTCTTTCTTTCTAAAAATCTTTCTTTCTTTCTTGCTAAAAATCTTTCTTTATATTATTTAAAAACATTATGTATTTTTGAGACAGTTTTGTATTAAAAGTCTTGTTAAAATCTTTTTTCTGTCTTTTTATTATTTCCAAAAGAGTATGTAGTATAATAAGATTAAGTATTATAATACTTGTTTTAAAAGTCTTGTTGAAAACATTTTTTCTCTTTCTTTCTTTCTTTCTTTCTTTCTTTCTTTCTTTCTTTCTTTCTTTCTTTCTTTCTTTCTTTCTTTCTTTCTTTCTTTCTTTCTTTCTTTCTTTCTTTCTTTCTTTCTTTCTTTCATTATTATTATTATTATATAGTATATTATAAAAGTATATTATCAATAATATTGGTGTTTTTGTATTAAAAAAATAAAAACATTTTATAAAATTTTTTATATATTTTAATTTTTTTTAAATAAATTTTTAATAATAATAATTATATTTCTTATAAACTCCAAGAACACATGAAAACAACAACAAGCAATACATAAATTTGTAGCAGTACATATTTAACGCGACAGATAAAATATTTTAAAATAGTAATAAATAACTATACATAAACAAACAAATAAAATAATAATATATTAGTATATAAAATAAAGATTTATTTTTTAATACTATTACAGAAAACTATGAACTAAACTACAAAATGTAGACCATGTCGTTTGTATCTAAAACAAAACAGAAGATAAAGGTGGATTTTTAAAAGCTATGTAGTGTATTATAAGTATATTGTCAATATTATTATTATTTTTTTATATTATTTTTTGTAGTAGAATATTTTTTTTCTTTCTATTATTTATAAAAATATTATGTAGTATTAAAAGAGAGGATCACATTTTATTTTGATGGTTTGTTGAATTTAAGTTACATTGCATCTTCATGCCAACTACTTCTCATTAGATTATAAGTAGACTGTTAGGTTGGGGTTAGGGTTAGAGTAAACTGACATGTACTTGCAAAGTTTCTTATAGTCAGTTAAATGTCTTTTGAAGGAGCAGTATCAACAGATATTAAGCAGACATTATACTACTCAAATAGACCATCAAAATAAAGTGTTACCAAAGAGTGTTTTGTCAATAAGATGGGTGTTTTGTATTGAAAGTGTAGTTCCTTTTTTTATTTCCTTTTTATGCCTGACTTTATTTCTCACAGTTACATCTTTTAACTCTCATTTTTTATATATATCTAGAAATTCCCCCAAACAACAAGTCATAATATCAACAAATAAAGACAGAATAGCAGGGAAGCCTATAAACATGAAACTGTGAGAAACAAACCTATAATTCTGAAGAAAAATACGCAAGATCAGAACTTCAAAGACCTAGATCTCAACAATTATGACTTTATATCTTGCAATCTTGTCCTTTTTCCCCTTAGAAAAGTCAGTATGTGTTTCAGAGTTGAGCATAGAGGTCAAAATGAAGTGAAATAAGATCAGAATTGTGAGAAACCTAATAATATTGTAAGGAAAATAAAGACAAATCTAATCAAATTCTGATTTGACATACACTGTAAAAAATCCTACTGCCTTAAAAAAATTTTTATCAAATGACCCTTTTTAGTCATTTCAACTTACATTAATCAAACTGACTGAAAATAATAAGCTAAACTTTATATAACTTAAAAAATTGAGATGAAACCTGATTAAATTATTAAAATAAGTTAAAGCAACATAAAAATATCTGTTGTCTTGATATAAACAGCCATAATAAGAAAGAAAAAGCCAGAATTATGAAACATTAGACAAAGAACGTTAGAATATTTACATATGTACGCAAAAAAGTTGCAATTACATTTCTTCTGTGTTCAAAAAATCAGCATCCATAGTATGGCCTTTAAGTCAATTTTATTAGCAGAGCAAAAGCTTCAAAATATGATATAATTAGCATGAAATCCCACAAGGACTGACTTCTGCTGGCTAATTTAAATGAATGATCGGTGCTAGTGCATGTGTTGAGATGAGCGCACGTTACCACACTGTCATCAGGCGGCCCTTTACTGTGAATTATTCTGTTATATAACACCCACGCTACATGTGTTCAGCAGTGGCCTATCACACAGTCGGTTCAGATCAGATCTCGCTCACACATACACATAAGAGCCCAAACGGTACCTTAACAAGGCAGGAATTGGTAACGACTTGTTTAGGATCTACTATGTCCACCAGGGGCTCCATCATGGCAACATTTCGGATGCACGTCATGTCAAATCCATAGACGTTTTCCCACCCTGAAAGCACATTTGAAGATATTTCAGATGGAAAATGGGCTTGAAAGGTTGAAAAATCTGTCTTGGCTGTGTCTGGTCGCCTTCATTTGGACCTAAAATAGACTTGTGCCTCCTCTGTGTCTGGCAGCATTTGATTACATTCGGCCGAAACGAATCTCACTCTTCCATCCAAAAACTAGAAGGAGGCAGTGGAGGGGATGGAGAAAAGAAAAGCTTTTGCTGCGGGGGAGTGATAAAATTCAACAGGAGTTTTTTTTTTTTTTTTCTTAATTTCTTATTTGTAGGATAAATAAATGCAAGGGATTCAGAAAAAAATATATTAGGGAATAGTAAGGAGATATATTATTAAATGGTTTATAAGTGTGTGTATATGTGCTTGTGTGTCTGTGTGTGTGTTTGTGCTTACAGTGAATTTTGAAGTCTTTGTACTGTCGATCTTCAATGGCAACCACATATAATGTCGCTCTGTCTGGAAACATGAAACCACCAGGTTTCTAAAAAAGAAAAATAGAAGTTCAAGTTAAAAAATCCAATCATTTTAAGTTATTATGATATAAATATGATTAATAATAATTACATATAATGATTGTTTTTAAATGATTTATATATTTTATTTAAAACTACTTTTACATTTTTTTTTGATAATTTATAATTATTATTAGACAATGATCTACTTTGTTATCTTAAATATTTTAAATATTTAATGTTTTATTATTCATATAAATATATGAGGTCATAATATAATATAATATAATATAATATAATATAATATAATATAATATAATATAATATAATATAATATAATATAATATAATATAATATTTAAAATAATCTATTATTATCCAATTTTTTTACAAATTCAAAACTAATTTGAAAAAATATTATTATGTATTTATATTTGTTATTATAATGTTATTTTTATATTATTATTATTATTATTATAAATATTTTTATTATTATATATTAAAAATAACACTATGATGTCATAAAACTAAATATTTTCAAATAATTATAATACATATAATAATGTATTATATACAATTTATTACAACATATTTTCAAGTTATTATAATAATTATATTAATGTATTACTTTTCATATTATTATAATAACATTACCATTTGTTAATATGACTTAATATAAATTTTTGATTAGTGTTTATTTGCTAACATTCATTTCGGAATTACAGCTTACGGGTTTGATATAAGCAAATATTAAATGAATCTGAGCTAATATCAACTATGTAATAATATAAGAAAATAATAAACTTTGTATTAATATAATATAATATAATATAATATAGTATAATATAATATAATATAATATAATATAATATAATATAATATAATATAATATAATATAATATAATATAATATAATATAATATAATATAAACAATCTAGTATGACTCTTTAATATCTTTGATGACGCACTAAAGCATTATCACATCACAGGATAGCACAGAAACTGGCTGAAATTTTAGGTAAACTACCCTCGTATTACATTTTAATCCACAACAATGCATTCCTGGCATAAGCACGATTATATTCCAATTATTCCAGTGACTTCACATCATTCTTTCTTTTCCTTCCTGTTCAATGGACCATAAAAATAACCCCAGGGTGAAACAATGTCTTGGCACCAACACAATAGTTCTATAAAAAAATTTAAAAAATTCTCTAACAAGCCACTTGTCCTCCGGACCAAATTGTCATTCAGTGGTAGACATTCATCAGACCGGCCACTCATTTCCATTATAAATGATCATTTTCAGCCCGGACACATGCTTCACATTCTAATTAGTCAAATAACCTTGGCCTTGAGACAGAAAACTCATGCATGCACACACAGACACAGACTGACCAGCCATTTGTCTCTGGCATAGATGACAGTGTTGAGCATGGACTCGTAGAACAGACAGTAACCCATCCACTCGGAAATGATGATGTCCACCTGATCCACAGGCAGTTCCGTCTCCTCCACCTTGCCTTTAAGGATCGTAATAACTGCAAGATGCACGAACACATTAATATGAGAGGCAGTATGGTTCTGTCCAACATTTAAATTTAACCTATGGTCAGTTTTAATCTTGCATAAATATTTGAACCATGTTTGTTACCCATTTAAGTAGATTGAACATAAAACAATTGAGTCCCCCCCCTCAAAAAAAAAAAACAGTAATTGAGTTGTTTCAGCTCATTTTAAATAAGTAGTTAGCTCAAATAAATACAGTTTGCTGCTTGTTCAAACTATTTATTTCAAATGAGCTGAATCAACACAGTTCTTACGTGCTTTTTTAGAACAACTTAATTGTTTTATGTTCAGTCCACTTAAAATTTGTAAAAACAATTAAGTTAACCTAATGAATTTGAGTTGGGACAACATGAAGGAATTGTGTGGAACCCTGCATTTTTTACAGTGTGTGAACAAACAGCAAACCTCCTTTTTGAGTGCACACATTTTCTTGGATTCGGAGGTAAATGTTTGATGCTCACAATGTTGTTCTTGGAAATCATTTAGCCAAAATATCATGATAACTGTCTTTAATATTTCTGATGCATGGTATAATGGTATTGGTTGATGAATGGATATTCTTAATGCTGTCGTTAATGACGCAATAAGAAAACCAATTATTGGTGGATGTATCATGGATTGTCTCAAAAATATATATATATATATATATATATATATATATATATATATATATATATATATATATATATATATATCCCAAAAATAGATGTAAACATGGTTATATAGTGAGACATGAGATTATGTTATAATATTTAATTGATAATTTCAGCTTATCTTTTTATTATTATAAATATAAGTAAATTAATAAAATGCTAACAAATGACTATAAAAACCCTGATGCAAGTCACTCCATGTTTTTTTGTTTACTTATAAATAAATATCACATTTCAGAAATCACATGGGTTACAAAAATATGCATTTAGTCACTAAAAAAATAACAATGTAATACCTGATTTGACTGATGTGTTTCCTCAAGGTTTTCTTTATCATGTATTCTGCAATGCTCACCTTTTTCCCCCATTTTCCCAAAGACAAGAGGTAATTTCCAATGAATGTCTGCTTGTGTGTGTTCTTCAATACATGGCTTATATTCTAGCACAGGTGTCAAATCAATTCCTGCAGCTCTGCACAGTTTTGCTCCAACCCCAAACAAACACACCTGATCCAAATAATTGAGGTCTTCAGAAAGAGTCTTAAACACCTTGATTAGCTGCATCAGCTGTGTTTGATTAGGGTTGGAGCAAAACTGTGCAGAGCTGCAGGAATTGAGTTGACACCTGTGGTTTATAGGGATTAATATGTCTATGGGAAATTCCCACACTGATAACTATAGAACAAGCATGTGTGTATGTGTATGTGCGTGTAGCAGTGACTCCCTCACGCTGACTCAGGCTCCTCACTAGCCTGCTGTTCTCCAGTGTTAATGAGAGCTGCTGTGGACAACTGAACAACAGCTTCTACCATCACACCGAACACAGTGTCAGCTACAGGAAGTGACTCTGCTGCTTCCTGTGTCATGGCACTCCACTTGCCAGCAGAAAAAAATGTATGACTCTGCTATTCCGTACAAGAATGCAGATCAAACCTAAACACTGTCCTGTGCCTAACATCAATGTAAATCTTACCGCTGTCCAGATGATTCGACTTGATGATTTTCTCCGAATACTCTGATATGCTGGAGCATTCGATCTACAAGACAAGATGATAATTAGCAATGATAATTAGCTTAATTACCAATTTTACCTATTGATACAGGTGTATGAAATGCAAATGAACCACAATTGCAAGTTGACGCATGCTAGATGGATGAACAGCATTTAACTGATTGGTTTTGTGTTTGTATTCAAAGCAATGTATTGAAATATGCTGTCTGTATTAGGGTTGTCATGATATTGGAATTCGATACCAATCAATACTGAAATTTGGGTGCTCCGATTTCCCCCACAGTCCAAACACATGCGCTATAGGTAAATTGAAGGATCTAAATTGGCCATAGTGTCTAGTGCATATGAGAGAGTGTATGGGTTTTCCGGTACTGTGATGCGGCTGGAAGGGCATCTGCTACATGAATAAATATGCCAGAATATTTGTTGGTTGGAAAATGAATGAATTAATGTAAAATGTGTTTTGCTATCAAATCCATTAAAGACATGGGCTGCGTCCGAAACCGCATACTTCCATACTATATAGTACGCTAAAATCAGTATGCGAGCCGAGTAGTATGTCTGAATTCATAGAATTCGAAAATCAGTAGGCGAGAAGTACCCGGATGACTTACTACTTCCGGCGAGATTCTGAAGTGCGCATCCCATGCACGCTGCGCTATCCCATAATGCCCCGTGAGAGAATTCATGAATGGAAGTGAGGCGACGCCACTGACGCAGGTAGGTCACGTGACCATGACAAAATGGCGGATGTAGTACGTCCGAATTCCATTCATACTTTTCAAATTCATACTGTATAGAACGTACTCTTCTAACGGCTGAGTAGTACGTTTAAATTCAAATGCAGTACCTACTGAGTAGTAGGAGGTTTCGGACGCAGCCATGGTTCACCCAAAGATGAAAATGTCCTCAACATTTACCCACATTTAAGTAGTTCCAAACTTTTATGGTTTTATTTCTTCTGTTGAACACAAAACAATATAAAAATCATTCATATAGGAACACTAAGAAAGTAAATGGCTGATTTTTGCAATAGGCCTTATTATATCTTTCTTTGTGCTCAACAGAAGAGACTCAAACAGGTTTGAAACAATTGCATGATGAGTAAATAATCCTTTTTTTGAGCGAGCTGTTCATTTTAGATGTACTCTGTGAACTCTTTCTGCTTGTATTTTTGCTCTGGACAGAAAGTGAGTCTTTTTTTAACTTATTGTAGAATAGAAAAGATGAAAAACGACTAAAACTGGACCTAGTGGGTGGATCAATGGAGTGTTATCTAACTACAGAGCAGAAGCACAGTAAGGCTATTGATATTATCAGTACACTCTCCCACTCTGTCTCTCTCCATAGACATACAGATACTTTGTGATAAAGACACACACTTTGTGATGAAGACAGAGCTGTGCAGTAATGCCTGTATGTTAGCATCTAACTCTTAATGAGTAATTTAAGTCCTCACCCCGTACACATGCTTGGCTCCTGCCTTGGCAGCAAACATGGAGAGGATTCCAGTTCCGCTGCCCACATCCAGAACGATCTTATCCTTGAAGATGTGTTTATTGTGATACATGGAGTTCCTGTAAGTCAGCGTCCTCACCTCATCCTTTAGCATTTCCTGTTGAGAGGTGGAGGGAAAACATTTTAGGCAGATTAATGCATTTCTTTTTCTTTTGCAAATTGGAAAATTGCAGTACTTAGTAGATAATGTGTTAGTAAGTTATGATTTGGCATATTTTTTAGTCTTTTAGGTTAAAATTGAAACTTTTTGGTCACTTTATTTTAAGCTACAATTCCCACTATTAACAAATGACTCAGAATTTGCGGCTTATTAACGGTTAGTAAGGTAGTAGTTTAGGGATTAGGTAGGATTAGCCATGTAGAATAAGATCATACTTTATAAATGCAAACAAACAGCCAGTATCTTGATAATAAGCAGGCAATAAAGCCAGAAGTTAACAGTTTTAGACTTTTTTGAAGTTTACATGGAGATTATAATAGTATTGCTTTCTATAACTTGAACTTGGAAACCTGTTAATGGAAGTTTGCAGTTTTAGGAGAACAATATGCTGTTGTTAAGTAAATAAATGGCTAACACATCATTTTACACCCCATTTTTTAGTTGAATGTGGTATCACATGAAGAGTAAACCCTCAGTCTTTTGTATGCTGTACACTTTGTACACTTAAAATAATAATACATAAGGAAAAAGTAATATATTTAAAAATAATCATTTATTATTGTGATGAACATCTGTATCCCAGCATCATCACACTTCTTCAAAATTTCACATGATCCTTTATATATCATTTTAATATACCTTTTAGTATACTATAAAGAACCAAAAATGTACTATAAAGTAAACAAAGGACTGCAAGAAAATATATTCTCTTGAAATAGAAACATTTGTAACATAATTATCCGTATTGCTTACTTTAATCACTTTAATTCACAATTTTTGTATTACCTTCTTTTAAAAATATATAAAAATAATATAAAATAAAATAAAAATTAAATTAAATTAAATAAAAAAAATAATAAATAAAAAAAAAACAAATAAATAAAAATAATGATAATAATCTGGTAAACATTTACAATCAGGTTGTATTAGTTAATACATTTACTGACATGAACACACAATGAACAATTAATATATTACAGTCTTTGTTCATGTAAATTAAGATTAATAAATGAAAATACACTTGTTCGTTATTAGTTCACGATGCATTAACTAATGTTAGCAAGCATGAATTTGATCGTTAATAATGCATTACTAAATGTTGAACTATGATTTATAAATGCTGTACAAGTATTATTCATACTTAGTTCATATTAGTAAATAAATGAACTAATGAAACCTTATTGTAAAGTGTGACCAATAATCTTATAGTGCATTAGCAGTATTTAGGCTAGAGTACATAATTTGGTGCAGTTTGAATCCTTGACTTTTATCCCTCATTTCTGGACCTTTTTTTCCCTTGGAGTCCTATGGAGGACAATATATAGGACACAAAGCACAGTGTCTCCAGGATTCTTTTTATAGAGACAGGTCTCCATTTATCCTGCTGGGATTAACTGATACACATCTTTCCAACCAGCCCTCCCAGCGCTCTAATTCTCTCTCTCTCTCCCTTTTCTTCCTCTCTTTCCCCATCTCGCTATCGTACTCTTGTCCTTCTTTTTCAGCCTTATCAAGAACTGTTCTTTTATCTACAGACAGATCCAATTTGACCATCGTGCTCTGAATGTGCTGATATCAAAGACGTGCATTCGCTTCTTCCTGAATGAGATTGGGAGATGGTTTCAATGACATTTTTAAGTATGTTCTTGAATGGTGGTACAAGTTATATCCACCTATTTTCAATGCGCCATGATTCTTTGTGTGAATTATGGGAGTAAGTTATGCATACAATAAGTGATGTCATAATGTAAGTCATTAAGTGTCATCACAGTTCATCCACTGAATATTAAACTTATTAGAGTGAAAATATATTGAATAATGGCAAAAACCTCAAAACATGTTGATTATTACCGTATACCAGTGTTTCTCAATCACGTTCCTGGAGGATCACCAGCTCTAAACATTGTCTATGTCTCCTTAACTAAACACACCTGATTCAGATCCTCAGCTCATAAGCAGAGACTGAAAGACCTGTATAAGACAAAGGAGACATCCAAAACATGCAGTGCTGGTGGTCCTCCAGGAATGTGGATGAGAAACACTGCTGTGTACTATATAGATTATATAATCTGGAATAACAAAACACTGAATTTAAATTGTGACTTGGCCACATATATGCTTTTAATATTATATTTGCATGTAATAGAGACTAATCAAACTCCTGATAAATGTTTTTTTTATTAAATTAATAGCACCCGATTTAACTCAATGTTTAAGAAAGTCCATATTTGATCCAATTTAGGTTTCAATAACCTGACATTTCATTTCATTTGATTTTAGATTTATTGAAAAAAAAAAAAACTTTTAGCAGAAAAAGCTGTTTGATTTTCAGATTTAATCAGTCTTTTTATTGTCATTGTTTTGCTAGGTTTGTTTATTGAAAATATATTTCATTTTAAATATGAAGAATACTAATAAAAATACTAAACAAATAAAAATTAATTGAGAAAAAAGTGAAATTATATTGAATAATGACTTGAGTGTTGCATTTCACCAGGTTATTTCTTTTTCTACTCTTTTAGCTAGACAAGCCACTCTTATTAAATGGAGACAGATGATTCCTCCATCACATGACATGTGGATCCGAGAAATCTTTAGTTACATAAAACTTGAGAAATTAAGATGTTTACTTTCAGGATCTCTCAATTTTTTTACAAGACCTGGAACCCTGTTTCAGACTATATCAAAGGCGTACCCTGTTCAGTTGATATCAGATCTTTACACAGTCTTTTTACACAGTAATTAATTGGAAAGGGGAAATATTGACACCTTAATGTGAACATTTCCATTTTTATAGTAAATTGCTCATTTATTTTTTTTAATAATTTCTTATAATTTTTCTTTTCTTTTTTATTTATTATTATTGATTTTTTTTCTTTCAGAGGATATGTTTGTTTATAATTCATATACTAATTTATTTTATTTTGAGGGGATAGTGGGACAATAAGAAAAATAAAACAGTCTATAATTTTTCTATGTTGCATTGTCTTGTTAACACCAAATAAAATAAAAAATAAAAAATAAAGATAATTAATAATGGCTAAAACTATAAATAAACATGCTGATTATTACTGTATACTGCATAGAAAATATAATCTGGAATAGCAAAATTATTGAATTTAAAATGAGATTTGGCTACAGATATGCTTTTGATTTTAATATCAGATTAAAATACCAAACATTATTGTCATGAAGCATAAAAATAAAGCACAATGCCAAACTTACCTCCCATTACCTCCGGTTTTCCTTATGCAAATAGTTTATTTGTGGTGCACCCTTATTATTTTATATCATTTGTTTCAGTTTCAACCCAATTCTGTCATTTCAACCCAATTCTGCATGTGAGATTGGCAAACCCAGTGTTTCTCAACCACATTCCTGGAGGACCACCAGCTTTGCACATTTTACATGTCTCCTTAAGCAAACACACCTGATCCAGATCATTAGCTTCTGGATCAAAGTCTGGAAGAGCTGTAATGAGTGTGACAGACAAAGGAGACATCCAAAACATGCAGTCCTAGTGGTCCTAAAGGAATGGAGTTGAGAAATGAACAAACCCAACTCCTGGGTAAACTTAAATAGGATATAATTAAATGAATAGGACCAAATTTAACTGAATGTTTAAATTAGTCTATATTTTACCCAATTTGGGTGTAAATAATCCAGCATTGTTTAGAGTTTTTCTTAATCTGAAAGTGCAACCCATAAAATCAATCTCTGTGATCAAAAACAACTTGATAGTTAAGATATAAACACAGACAAGCAAGAGACAAGTTCAAAAACTAACCCCAAAACTCCATCCAATTACCTCATGAATTCCAAAGTGGGCATAAGAGTCGAAATAGTAATCTCGAGATGTCATCTCCTCTGGGTTGAGCAGTTTGGCCATCTTTCCTCGGCCGGGGCAGGCAGAAAGGGCAGAGACGTGTGGCGTGTGTGGAGGGTGAGGAGGGACATGATGAACTGAGGTCACTGGTTTTGGTAGTGGAGATGGTTGTAGGGACTGGGACGAGGGGATGCTGGAAATACTTTGCTGCTGCTGATGCTGAGGTTGCTTGTGTTTTTGCTGCTGCTGCTGCTGGTCAAGACAAGAGCATAATAATCTGCAAAGGCTCACTGGGATTCAATAAGTGTATTTACATATTTGGCAGACAGTTTTATCGGAAACAGCTCATACTGGGTTTAAAGTACACGTGTTATTGGTTTGTGCTGCCCTTGGGTTTTTAAGCGCACGACCTTGGTGTTGTGAACATGATGTTCTACTGTTAAAAGAGCTATTTATTTATTGGAAATTTGCCTTAAAATGAATTGTTATTTTATTTAAGTTTTTTTTTTTAATTTGCAGAAAAACCCTTATGGTTTTCAGCTTTATTTAGTGCTTTTTATTTTGTAAATACCCTTTTTTGTAGATTTTTTTAAATGCATCTTGAATGAAGCTTTTAAATAGTATTTGCAGAAAAAAGGCTCACGATTTTTATCTTTATTAGGCCTTTTTATTGTAATTTTTTTGTTTATGAATTCTAAAACACGTCATTTTAAATATGATGAATGTACCAAAAAATTTAAACATCAGAAACTAATTGAGAATAAAAACACAAGTAGACAATTAAGAGAATTAGAAAACTATAGTCATTTTAAATATAATTTAATGAATAAATATTACACACACACATACAACAAATGTATTTTATGTAATAAATAAATAAGGTCAAATTTTAATTTAGAAAATAGAGCAATAAAACAATTATTTTATTCATATAATAAATAAATAATGTCCAAATGTGGGAAAAATACATTATTAAATTGGAACACATTACTTAAAAGACTGTAAAAACAGCAAAAACAGAACAGACAGACAGAGGGATAGAAAGACAGACAGACAGACAGACAGACAGACAGACAGACAGCCTGACAGACAGACAGACAGACAGACAGACAGACAGACAGACAGACAGACAGACAGACAGATAGATAGATAGATAGATAGATAGATAGATATAGATAGATAGATAGATAGATAGATAGATAGATAGATAGATAGATAGATAGATAGATAGATAGATGTCAAACAATTAGTGATTGCGATAAAAAAAAAACATGACAGACAGACAGACAGATAGATGTCAAACAATTACTCATTGCTATAAAAATACTTGTGTAAAACAGCAAAGCAGACAGACAAAATACACTACATGAACGTTTATCACCCTGTTTTTGTGTTTTCCCCCATCTTGCTATTCATGTTTCACCTTTCTATCCACGGCTTCTCTTCTTTTGATGCCTCTATTACCAACGCCAACATTAAAATTAGGTTTGCAAAGGTGAATATGCTAATTAGCCGGGGAGGGGGGCAAAATACTGCAGCACCAAGGACAGCGCTCAGCCGGTGACCCAACAGAACACATATAAGAGGAACTGAGTGTTTTTTAACCAGCACACGAGTAACTTTATCGACTTATAGCTACAGAATCAGGCTAATTTGTTGTCTTTTAGGTTTCCATTAACATCTATCATTATATGTCTTCTTAATCTTCATTCAACTTGTCTGCATCCTAAATATTAATATGAGCTCTGCATTTTGACGTTGGACGCGGTGTTTGATCTCGCCAGGACTTGTTTTCCTGCTCTGCCGCACTGGTGTTTAGTCTGCATAGTCATACACATCCCGGGCACTGATTTGTATGACCTCCAAATCAACGTGTCATTATGCACGTATTTACGCATTAATAAGATACTAAAACGATTCACACGCGATTTGCAATGGTACATGTCAATTTTTATACGTGCATTGATGTTTAAACCATGGCTTAAGGAGTCTTTGACTTACCTCCGTGCTCTCCGCCTCCGCCATCTTTCTCCGCAGGAGCAGACACCGCGATGAGTGCCTCAGTCCCATACGAGCCAACGGGATCCGGATTAACTCGATGAGGGCAAGTGTTCTCGCTAAATCTCCTAGAAAAGTTTCAAAACGCGCTGCAATAGGCAATACTCGGTGTGCGCTTTGAAACGAGCCATTTGTTAATTTGCAAAGCGTTTAATAAACAGTAAATGCCTAAAAAGAGACTAATAGGGAAATTGTCATAAAGACTTAGCAGATAGTCCTCGAACTTCACTATTCCTACTCCTATAATGAAAACCCATCGTGTAAAAAGTTCTACCGGAGGTTCTGAGCGCCACTTGGAGACCAGTTGATCCGCGCCGCTTCAGCATCCACATCACCTGGCGCTGCGCATCTCCGCGTTACCTGTGCTTGGACAGATCAGATGCATGTTTCATTTAAGCTTGCCATGGTGATCCTCTGTTATCTGATTTTTGAAATCCTTGTCGTTTGGTTGTGGACGGTCAGATGCGTCTGGAACGAAGCGTAAAGTTGGAGAGACTGCTGACTGAACTGGAGCGCAGCGAGTGCAGAACTGGAGCGGTATCAGTAGCTGAATTAGTGCCTCCCACACAACTATCGCACCTCCACTTTCTCAAAATAAAGGACACAAGGCCGATTGCATTTTAATCCATTTCAAGGCTGAACTTATTCAGACAGACGTGTGCAGACGCTTTTATCCGAAGCGATGCACATTATAAGTTCTTGTATAGCTTCTGGGAATCGAACCCTTAACCTTGGTGCTGCTAACGTCATTTATATCCTGTTAGAGCTGGTATTGTTTGAAATAATATTGAAGAAACAGCTTCACAGATATCTGTATATAAAATAAAAACATTTTTTTTTAATTTCGAAAATGGGCATTTGCTGTAAATTCTACTTGTTTTGTTGTTGTTAAGTAGAAAAAAGTGGCCTTTGGTGATTCATAAAGTGCAAGTTTGAGAGACAACAAACCATATACCATTTTACAAACCATAGACCATTTTAAAGGGATGTAAACAAAAACAATAGTCCCAAAATGTTGCCTCTTTTAATTCCTATAGCTTCCTAGAATCCAAAAAGTGCCACATATTAATAAATAATGTTATGATAGCTGCTTTAACATTGTTATGATTAAATTGCCTCTTGTTACAGCTATGAAATAGTTTGATAACAAGTAGGAAATGTTCATGGGCCAATGACATGGCCACACTGAAATGGTCTATAGAGGCAAAACAAGAGTAATACCTGTGGCTCCTGATGATACTATGAATCTTATGAAGAAAAACTATCAATCCAAGCAAGAAATTGAACATTATTTTTTACATTATAAAACATGTTTATTATTACTAAAACATCTTTAGAATTAATGCAAACATTGTAAGTTGTGTTATGTAGTTTTTATGCATATTTGTCTGAGCGCATGTAGAATCATATTCTGTCTTTACTAGATACATTTTTATATGATTTATTTGAGTAATTTCAGCATTTATTTTTGCAATATCACTTTTATTATCGCTTAACAAATCACGATAATTCAGCCATTAATATAAAGCTACAATCTAGTCATTAAAATACTTTCTTTTTTTAGTTTACTCGGTGTAAAATGCTACATATATACAGCTAAAATAATTGCATTTCTTAAAATAAAATAAACATTTTCTGAGATATATAAACAGAGCCTAAATAATATAAAAGGTAATAACCACACTTATTATTGTTTGAAGTAATGTTATTTATAATAGGCAGGGAAAACCAAAAACCAAAAAAAAAAAATAATAATAATTCACTACATTATTTTAACTTAGGAAGAATCTAGAGATTAATTCATGCAAGGACAAACAGATTCAAAAACAGTTTTTTAATCACACCCTCGGCTTGTCCCGGCAGTCCCAATAACCTCAGCCAATCACCAGTCCCCACACACCACACATGTTAACCTGAATACAGCCCGCACCTGCAACCCCAATCACAAACTCACCATAAAGTCTCATCTCCTCCAGTCACTCACTGGCTAGAATCAACGTCAGATGGTCTTCCTCATCGGCTCTCCTGTTATCTCTTTTCCTCCTCCGTGGATGTCCCCTTTTCTCCTGTAGATACAAAACAACCTGCTCAAGCAAAGTGTCTATAGTATGTGTGTTGTTGTTATTGAAGAACTGTGGACTTACCATATTGAACTTTGCTTCACCACTCACCTGCTTCACCAACAGTTGTTTGTTGATCCACTTGAATAAATTAAAAGATTTTACCTCCGTTGTCTTCCTTGTGTGACCGTGACATTTTTATCCAACCTAAATAACCGTTCTTAACGCTTCTTGAAAAAATAAGAGACTCAAGGTAATATACTTTATGTGTGTATTATGTAGTTTCTATGCATGTGTCTGAGTGCATGTAGGATCATATTCTATATTTATTTTTATACAATTTATTTAAGTAACTATAGCATTTTCTTGTTTTGCACCGACTGGAGAGCACTTTTAAATTTTGTTGTACTTTTGACAATTATAATAAAGATCCATTCCAGGGGTGTCCAAACTCAGTCCTGGAGGGCCAGTATCCTGCATAGTTTAGCTCCAATTTCAGTCAATACACCAACCTGAAAGTTTCTAGTATACCCAGAAAGAGTTTGATTAGCTTGTTCAGGTGGGTCTAATTGGGATTGGAACTAAATTATGCAGGCCACCAGCCCTCCATGGTCGAATTTGATTACCCCTGATCTATTCGATTTAATTTGATTCATTCATTTTTATTTAGTTTAATGTTCTCAATCCATTTGTCTCACCGCCTGCATCATTTTTAAACGCCAAATCTGTGCATTTATTTATGGCGAGCACCAACTTCACAAGCATCTGTTGTCTGTGTCAATCTAAGCCCACAGAGGAGTGAGTTCGCATGCATCTATACACGCACACACTCAGAGAGAAGTGTGGAATTCTCAGTTTGGAGTCATACGGCGGCCCCCTCAATGTTTTTACATGCCACCCACTCATCTGCTTGTGTAATCCCTAAAGCTAATGTAGGAGGCAGTCCTGACCAGAACACACACACATGTTGGTATTGGTAATTTACAGGGACTCTCCATAGGCGTAATGTACTTTATACTGTAAACACTGCTAATTATATGGCCCTCATATCAAACCTATGGCAAAATTTAAATGTAAGAAGGTGTAAGTCTTATTTTTAAGTAAATCAGTCATGACCTTGTAAATAACAATAAGTAAGAAAAACTAGGCCATATCATGTGATTATACAGACAAACGTCCTTGTACACCACCAAAACCAGTACACACATTTCAAGGGTGTAAAGAGCAGCATCAGACCATTCAGAAACATGTGGAATTAGCCATGTAGAGCATATTTGAAAATGTCAACGCGATAAACAAGCTCAATCAGAGCTGTTTTTCCGAGCACTCACAGTAATGGAGCTCATGGTGTGATCTACTAGACTGAAATAAAGGTACGCTCTATTGTATCCTGCTGAGAGGACTTTAAACACATGGGCTGCTCATGTATAACACTGAAGGACGGAGGCCCACGCAAGCTGAGTAATACCACACACTCGCACACTGTGTCAATCACACACACAAACACGCACACACACACTCTTAAAACATATCTAAGAGAAACTGGGGGCCGCGGACAGTCAAATACTAATTATTTCTCTGAATTTCCAAAAGCCTGTCGCTCTGTTTCTGGCACTGACAGTGTTTATGCTAAGTCAGTCTCATTGAATCTCACATATTTTGTTTGCGCTCAGTTGTTATTCCGGCTTATAAAAATATGAATGCTTTCCTACAACCTTGTCAGTGAGTTGTGAAAATGTGGTGTGTTATTATTTGTCTGAATATCATGGAAATGTTAATATTGACATAACTGCAAGAAGTAACGTTAATTAAAATAAAAATGATTTGATTTGTTTCCCAGGGATGGGTTGCGACTGGAAGGGCATCCGCTGCATAAATAACGTTCTGGATAAGCTGGCGGTTCATTCCGCTGTGGCAACCCCGGATTGATAAAGGAAGACTAAGCTGAAAGGAAAATAAATGGATGAATGATTTGATTTGGTGGCACAGTTGCTCAGTGGTTAGCACTATTGGCTCACAGAAAAAAGGTTGCTGGTTCGAGTCTGGGCTGGGCCATTTCTGGGCCATTTCTATAGAGTTTGAATGTTCTCCCCGTGTTCGAATGGGTTTCCTCCGGGTGCTCAGGTTTCCCCCTCAGTCCAAAGATATGCGCTATAAGTGATTTGAATAAACTCAATTGTTTATTCATTTTTTAAAGATCTATTTTTGGTTAAATATAACTATTTATGCGCCATTCTAATGTATAATTTTGGTTTTAACACTTTTTGGTCATATGCAGACATTAAGGGTACGTTCTGTTTCTTATTTCTCATCAAGCATGAACAAGCATTAATATTTAATAAAGCTACATGAAAGGTTGTTATAAAACTTTTTAGTTTTTAGTTCTAACATTTATAGATCATTAATAAAGACTGGACAACTTTCATTTATTCATTCATTCATTTATTCCTTTCTTTTTTTTTTTTTTTTTGGCTTAGTCCCTTTATTAATCTGGGGCTGCCACAGTGGAATGAACCTCCAGACTGGACAACTTTGAATGAACATATTAATATCACAAGAAGTTTGTTCATACTGTATGTAACTTTTAGTGAACTTTCTGAATTTCTCCAAAATTCTGAGAGTGTTCCCTGTTTGTTGTTTGCAGTGACCAAAAAGAAATGGTTTGTTTTTTAGTCGCACATCTTTATCTTTGTGCTGAAGCCGTTGTGAAGCAGCAGGGTTGTCCTTGGCCTTGTTGTCCATCTGCTAAATGAAAGACTTTTTCTGAGACTTCATGGAGGAAGTGTGTGTGTTACTAGGCTTCTTTGTGCTTTTCTTGCTCCTTTTCCCTCTCCTGTGGGTCGTTTTCATGTGTCTGCTCACGCATAAACACAAACTCTTGCTGTCCGGTGCCATTTAATGGCTTAGACGGCATGAGGACAAAACAATAAAATAACAGGGGAGCGGCAGACAAAAACCAAACACAACCAGACGTGAATCACAATGAGTCAAATTCAAACGGATAAACAACAGTTCAATAGGCTGAGATGCTTTTCAAAGTTCTCTGTCATCATGCTGCATTGTTAATGTCAGCCTTTCTTGCCATCTTCCCATGTTTGTTGTCACCGCTTGCTCAGGATATCCATCAGATTGGATTCCCAAAATGAAAAACATCACTTCGTGTTGTCAAACAAGCAGGGTTTTATCAGGCAGAAACAAACAGAAGATGCAAAACTCCAATCTCAAATTCAGTGAGCTTTACTTTGTGTTCATTTCCATTAGAAGCGCTGACAGAATACAGATTAGTGGAGACGTTTCTCACTTTAAATGCCTTCATCGCTCTCTCAGTAGACTCTCTTCATTTATTCAGACATGACGGATAACGCTTTCCCCTCTAATGGTGTTTCGGCTGGAAAACTGTGTCGCAGGCAGGTGACTGCGGATCATATCCGCTGCCTATGGTGGCGCGTGTGCTCCTAATGGGGTTTTGACTTTATTAGGTTACTAGGATTGAGGTTTGGCAGGTTTGAGAGGAACTTCTGTGTGTAGAAATGGCAGAGAGCACATCTGACGCTTTTGCTTGACTTCAAATGGAGAGAGGAAAGAAAGTCATGCCTGCTTTTAGAAACACAGCACTGTTTATTTCCATAGTAAGGAATATTTAATGGATGTGAATTATTGAGGTGCACTGGGAAGCATGTTTTACATTCTCCTTACCTTGTTCTTGCTTTTTTTAGTTTATTTATAAAATAATTTCGAGAGGATCACCTGCTTATGATTGCTTGCGGCTGGATCCGCATTATTCATTTCTCAATGCACCAATCAGACAACTCCTAAGCTACTACAAATACCCTGGGTTACGTACCACCACTATCTTCGTTTTGAAAAATTCCCCCATCCACCCCTACTCCTCCTTCTTCCTAGATGGGTGACACGGTGGCCCAGTGCTTAGCACTGTTGCCTCACAGCAAGAAGGTCTCTGGTTCCAGGCTTTACCAAACCAGCAGACATTTCTGGGCGGAGTTTGCACTTTCTCCCCATGCTCACGTGGGTTTCCCTTAAGTTTCCCTGTTTCCTCCCACTGTCCAAAAAGATGCAACTTAAGTTAATTGACTAATCCAAATCGGCACTATAGACATGCTCCTAGTAAATCGTTATCTCTTAAGAGCAATCACTATTTGTTTGTTAGTTACTACAGCAGTGGAGTTCTCGAGATCTACCTGAGCTCAAACTCCCTTGCAACAGGAGGGAGCCTTGGGCTCGAGGATCTTATGAGCTCAGGGCTGTCTTCCGAGACAGCATGCCAAACAAGCTAATTAATCATCAGCTAAGTGTGAACTCTTGAAACATTAAAAAACTAACTGATTTAGGTAATTAAGAAGGTTTATTTTTAAATGATCAGGGCTACAGCTAAACTTATAAACACTATTTTGTTACTTAGACTAAAAGTAAAGTTTAGTAAATACGATTATTTTAGATATGAGCATTTTTTTTATACAATTGAAAAAAAATTTAAATATGTGACCCATGTCGAAAAAACCAGTCGATATTTCTCATTCATACATTTTTTTAGATTGTTACATCACATGAAAGCTGCATATATAAGTTTTCCATTGATGTATGGTTCATTAGGACAAGACAGTGTTCTGACGATAAAACATCTGTTGAAAAGTCTGAAATCTGAAGGTTCAACAAAAATAAAACTGTTGAAAAAGTCACCTTTAAAGTTGAACAGTTGAAGCTTTATGGACATTACTAATAAATAATAAGCATTTACAGTATGGGATTGTACTAAATATCTTTATAGAACAATATTTTTACTTAATGTTCTTATTATTTTTGTTATAAATTTAATAATATATAATCAAAATAAAAAGACCCATATGAGTTTTTTTTTGTTATTATTGCCAAACATATATCCATATAACATAAGACATCATTTGTCATCCAGGGCTACATAAAATGTTTCTGATTTTCATTTGTTTTTGAAAATTGTCATTTAATTTCCCTCTAAAACTAAAATTCAAAATGTAAAAACTATTTAGATAAAAGAATCATGAATAAAATGAACAAAATACAAGAAAATCACCTAATTAAAAAATGGAAATATTATTTATCTTGGAGTTTGCGTGTTCGAATGGGTTTTCTCTGAATGGTCTTGTTTGCCCCACAGTCCAACGCATGCGCTATAGGTAAACTGAATAAGCTAAATTGGCCGTATGTGTGTAAATGAGTGTGTATGGATGTTTTCCAGTACTTGGTTGCAGCTGGAAAGACATCTACTGCGTAAAAAATATGCTGGATAAGTTGGTGGCTCATTCCGCTGATGGCGACCCCTGATAAATAAATGGACTAAGCAGAACGAAAATGAATGAATGGCTTATTCATCCTTATCCATCAATATAATGGACTGTAGGAAATGCAAATTTTTTAAATAATTTAATTTTGTAAGTTAATCCATACCTTTGCTTGCCTCTTATGTATTTTTTTTTCATTTTTTTTTTCAGTGTTTACAAAAACACAGAAAATGTCACAATAATAAAACTCATTTCCTGAATGGCAAAGACACCAAAGAGCTTTATCTATCACTGTTGATGCAGTTATTTTAAAGTAGTTTATTATTATTATTATTATTATTATTATGATTTAATTTTTTTTTTTTTTTTTTTTACAGTTTTTTAATGACTACCATACAGTATTTAACATCACTGTATCTGCAGACTGCTGTTAAAATCGAACTATTGATTTTCTCACAGAATGGGACAAGAACTTAGTGAATGGGACAAGGCAACTTAGTTACAGTAAAAGCCCCAATAACAGTTATTAGTCCTCGAGCAGTCTTTGGGGATGAACAGCTCGCTGTATATTTAATCTCAGAAATGAAGGGGCGGGCTGTACTTCATTTTCTCCTCACATCCTGCACTGACCCTCCGCTATCCGCCGACTGGACAGGACACACGCCACCGAAACAACCTTGCTGAGTGTAAAAACACTTTCATCCGCTAATTAGGTAAGTTTAAACACGTTATGTTTTTTCTTTACGCCACGAATAATGACTTTGATGCTTGTCCCAAACGCAACATATGAGCAGGTGGTTATAGAAGAAATGAAGTGCGCATCGCATCTCAACACAGTTTTGCTTTGTTTAAGTACACGACGAGCGCGAAAAGTGGCGTAGGATCAACGCAAATCCTCGACATTGATGCGGTTTTTTGCGGAAAGTGTAAAAGGCCAAAGTCCAGGGGAGGAAAGAGATGGAGAATCGGCTGCAGTGAATCAACATGTCCTCCTTTTTCGGGACAACCACCGCTGCGTTCATTGCATGTAGTGCAGGGAGTACGTGGGATATCATGTGCATTTTAATCATTTAAAAGCTCAGAGGAGCAATTTCGCACCATTTAGTCGCGTACTCATAAACGAAAAGCATCTGTGGCTGTTGAATCGATTTCCTGTCAGTCTTTTAAAGAGGAAACCACAACAAACATCTGAACACCGAGACGAGAAACAGCGAAAGTGAAACGGATCCTACATAGACAAAAGACTTTACTTTAACCTTTCTGCAGTACCTGATGATGGTGGCTGATGCTTTAAAGAAAAAAAGCTAACTTGTATTTGGATCTGTTGGTTGCTGCAGACAACATGTTGAATGGTATAAAATGTGAAGCCTTTAGCGTCGGGTGTAACTGTTTAAATCGTCCTTTGGGAGTATTATTGCCACATATTTAACAAACAACTTTGTCTTGTGTTATAAAAGAGACTCTCACAAAAATAGGGAAAGAAAACAAATACAAAAAAAAAAAAAAAAAACAAGCAACAGCAAAATTACTAAACAAAAATCTAAACTAAACAAAAAGTTGTGTTTAACAGTCAGTGTATAGTAGCCTACTTTCACAATAAAAAGTCTTATTTAAATAGCTGTTTTAAACATTATAGGCCTACTTTCTAAAATGATGTTGAATCATTGCATGACACTACATTTAACATAGAAAAAAATGTAGCCCTCTATTTGTATTATTTGGTTAGTAGTAAATGTAAAAAGCTGCATGGTTGCGCTGCAGTTTTTAAAGACACAACCATATTTACCATTGCATGGGGGAATTTCGTAGATAATGCAGTCATTTCAACACTGAATTCACTTGAACAAGGTGAATAAAAGCCTTGGAAATTTCACCAATTTGGCCTACAGAAAACTGTGATTTGAGCATAGACAGGAATTCACAACAGAGAATTAAATCACTCTTTTTTTTGCATTTGAGGCGGTTCATTCCACTGTAACGACCCCTGATAAAATAGGGACTAAGCCGAAGGAAAATTAATGAATGTTTTTGCATTTGAATCCCTGAAATCTTTCTAACATAACTCTGTGTTAACTGAAAAAATATGTTAAAAATAAAAAGTGTTGGTTAGTTCCGCATTTTCTAAACTCTAAATGAGTATACGGAGTAAATAAGAAGACTAGGGTTGTTTAAAATTCTTGAAACCCCTTATAAATACTTGTGGTAACCCATAACAACCCAAAGAATGCATGTGTCCCAAATCTCAGCCAAAGCCATTGGTCTGTCAACAGAGCGTACAAGAGGACAGTTAGTCTGTATCATGCAGGCCATCATGTTGAGGTATATAATAAATGCAAATGTAATGAATAAACATTATTTTGTACAACATAATCATTTCAAACTCATACACTTAAGTCTGCATCTGGAGTCCATCGGTATCATAAATACTCAGTATTTACCGGTCAATATAGCTAGATAACCTTTCAGGAAAAAAGCACTCTATGTGATTACCACTGACACGAGGGCTTTCTCCATACATTTACAACACGTGATCAGCAAATCAATATGTCCCCGCAGTCATTCTGAACAACTTCTTTATGCCTCAGCATCCAATAGAAATTGACTCTCGCCAAAATCTAGGCCATAAAATCAATAATAGCCAGGATTTTTTTTTATATATAACCCAAAGTCTGCAGTCTAATTTTGTGTTTTGGAACAGAACATGTCAGTCACCTTTCTAATCTGGTGCTGCCATTCATTGTCCTCAAAATTTTTAGAGCCGACTATGTGGGTTGGACACTCTGTAGTTTTGTTGTGTTTTAAACCATTTCAAACCAAACACCCTCATTTTATCGGCCGTGCGTGGCTGCTGTTTTGACACGCGACGCCTCCACACTAGGCCCCGAAACGAGCGTGTCGTCTGTCTGTGGTTGAAACCCATGGGCCACAGCTGTTAATTAACATGTCATGCAAAAGAACAGCGTTTGACTGCCATCTTTCCAAAAAGCCTGTTTACGATCCTGCCCACCTCCTCCTCTTTGTCCTTTTTTTTAAAAAATCATTTTGCCTCATAAATGCTTAAAGATTGAACAACTTTCAAACTTCTTTTCTTTTACACTTCTCTCTTCTCAGCAACAGGAGAGATGGGCAGCATGTATAAAGATGAGCAGGGTGACTGGATCACGGTGTGTCTCAAATACCTGCTCTTTGTTTTCAACTTTCTCTTCTGGGTGAGTCTGAACTCCACTTTGCTGGTATAGCTCTTATCAAAAAGGAAGGAAAAAAGTTCTTAGATCATTAAGGATGTAGTTGAATCATTTCTTCTGCAGAATTAGATAGATTATTAGCTGAACTTACAGTACTTGTTATAAAATGTTGGGTACTGCCACTTTAAGAGTCACAAAAGCAGATAAAAGCAATGAAATGAATCAAAATGAACATCTCCTGATGATATATTGAAGACAAATTAGGTGAAACGATTGTTCTGAAGTAATTATGAATTCTATTGTCAAATAAAAATAAGTTAAAGGAATAGTTACAATACAGGCTCATTCTGAAAATGTAGCTCTATATACATTTCTGGAGATCATGAATTATGTAGCCAGAAGTACGTATGGCTGCATTTCATTTTTAAAACATACGCCATGGCTCGGTATGACGCCATTCCTGTTCACGCTTACCAACTGACCGCTTTTCTCTCTTAACCAGTTTGACCAGTAGCTCGCCATATACGTTGAAATTTGAGATCTCAAAAAGCATACACAGCGGCCTTTGGTGGATTTGCGAAAACAAAAACTGCAAAAAAACGTACCTCCTTGGACATATTTGGCTGTCTTCAGAAATGTATATAGAGGTATGTTTTCAGAATGAGCCTGGGTTGGATAGTTCCCTCATAAATGAAAATTGACTCACCATTTACTCTAAACTTTAATGAATATCTTTCTTGTTGAATGCAAAACAAGGTATTCTGAAGAATGTTGAGGAAAACAACCAATGACAACCATAAAAGGAACAAAATATACTATGGAAGACAGTAGCGGATTTTCACCAACATTCTGCCTGGGAACAAGTGGAGGATGAGCCAAAGTGACAGAATTTTCAGATTTGGATGAACTTTCCTTTGAGCAGTAATTTTTTCATTTGATAATTTTTTTAGTTTTATATTTTAATTTATTATTTTTATCCATTTAAATAACCTTTGTTACATCCAACAGCCGTCACACATTTGTTTAACACAAATCATTAAAATCAGATAAAAATTAACCCTATTTTGTTTCTCAAAACAACAAATTCTGGGTTCCACCCATTTCCTTCATGCAGTCATAACAATTCAACTCAATTCAATTTTATTTCTATAGCGCTATTACAATGTAGGTTGTGTCAAAGCAGCTTAACATCAGCTAAAAAAACACAAATCCATTAAGTTAAAGTAATTGTTTTAACAGATTTAAGTGGATTGTACCTAAAACAATTAAATTGTCCCAAAAATAAACATTAAGAATTGTGTTGTTTCAACTAATTTTAAATAAGTAGTTTGAACAAGCAGTAAAATTGATTTGATGAGTAAACTAGATCCCAGCAAGTCTTTTTTGTTTCTAAAAGATGTCTAATAGATGTCTAGACGTCTAAACATAGTTTTCTTGGCTAAAACAAGGCTAAATTTGGGCTGTCAGTGAAAATCCAATAGGCGTCTAAGAATAAGCCCAAACTAGACTAGTCATCAAATAAACAGAAATGAATGACTACACATGTACAGTCTGTGTACTCTGTCTATTTGACGACTAGTTTAGCCTTGTTTTAGCAGTCTTCGATTAGATGTCTATTAGACGTCTATTAAACACAAAACTGTTTGCTGGGATGTGCATGTTGATTTGAGTATGTCGTTTCTCATGTTGTTATACATAAATTAATGCATAATCCACCACATTCTCTCGGCATCTATTTTATAGTATTTCAGGTAGAAAAAGGAGAAGTAAATATGAGAAAACCGCTCATAACTTAATGCTGATAATTAAAGCTTTTTCGCTTCTCTCACTTCTGCATTTCATCCACCTGTGCATCAACAACTACAGTATGTTCATAAAGGACAGAGATTAAACTGATCTCATATATTACAGTTACCTCTTTACTGTATGTATGAGACAGATTGGTTTTCCTATATCCTGGACTATGCAAAGAAAAGTCAAGGAAATGATTCAGAATCCACACCTTCAACAAGAATGCACAGTTATCCACTGATTTAAAGGGATAGTCCACCTAAAATAAATTCTGCCATCATTAACTATGATTGTATTGCTTTCATTAAAGAAATAAAGAGAAATTCTGAATACTGGCAAGTTTTAGATGCAATTACAGTGTTTAAAATATTTTAAAAAGCACTATAAAAGTGGTATGTTTGTACACATTTTAATTTGGTATCTCACCAAGTCCTTATTTCTTTACATGATTTGATTTTGTGTTGTATAGAAAAAAGTTTTGCAGGTTTGAAACTGCATGGGTTAGCAAGCAGTGAGTCATTTTTCATTTTTTGGGTGAACTATTAGCTGGAAACATAACCTCTGAAATATATTCAGTGTGTCCTCTAGTTATTCATTCAGTGCATGACTTTTGTAAAGTGTGCGTGCTCGCCTGTGTGTGTGGTATGCTGAGGGCTTGAGAGAGACAATGGGATTTAGATTTTTTGTTTGAGTTTGTCATTTGAGACTTTGAAGGAATGAGCCGGGAGTTTCCTCAGCCTCTGACATGAACTGAAAACAGTCAAATGAGTGTGTATATGTAGATTAATAGAGTGTTTGGTTTCCATAGAACCACACAGGTGGATAATTAACCTGTTTCTGAAAACTCAGGCTAAATGAATGATTATTTGAGTTGGTTAAATAATCACAAACCTGTCAAGCTGTGAAATAGCTGTTTAGTGCTTGAGACAGGAGAGTTTGAAATCTGTAATTAGCTGATTTATTTTCACTGTCTAATCCCAGTGTTTTCTTGTAATTATGTTTTGTATTTAATACGTATGAAGACTTCCAATTAAGCTCATATACATTTGCCTGCTTCAGTTCTAGTTTTTACATTGCAAAAACAGCTAGATTTTTAACTGTCATGTAATTTTGCACCTTCACAAAGTTTTGTCAATGCAAAGCAAAATAAAATCTTTAAAAGCAACTACTGTAGTTTATTCAATTTTTTAAAGAGTGTTTTCCACTAAATACTTTTTAAAACAACAGGTTAATTACTTCTTCTTTTTTTTTTTTTAAGTGAAGTCATCTAATCATTTTAAGTGAGGCTTATTAATAAACTAATTTTGAGAGGATCACGTGCTTATGATTTATCACGGCCAGTCTCGTATTAGCTAATCATTATCTTCCAATCATATGAGCCCTAAGCTTCTAAAAATAACCACAGTTTTCAGTCTGTTTTATCTTTGTTTGGAAGAAACCCCCCTTCATCCCCTATTCTCCTTCTTTACCATTGATCTGGCGGCACGGCGGCCCAGTGGTTAGCACTGAGAGCACCACAGCAAGAACACTGCCAGCCCTGGTCCTGGCTGGTAGGCGTTTCTGTGAGGAGTTTGTATATTCTCCCTGTGTCTGTGTGGGTTTTCCCCGGGTTCTTCGGTTTCCTCCCGCCATCCAAAGATATACAACATGCATAACAGTCAAGCACTTGTCTAACCCCTTTTCTCACGTGTTCCCTTAGCTACCGCAGCCGGGGAGTTCTGTGATCCACCGAGCTCAGGCTCCCCTCTCGCTCTGCCAACGGTGAGGAAGCCCCGGGGTCGAGGATCACTTGAGCTCGGGGCTCTCTCCCGGGGACAGCATGCCAAACAAGCTTTTGATAGATCATCAGCTAAATGTGAACTCTTGAAAAGCATCAGGTTACTCACTTTTCTTGAAGTAAAGTCAACTAATCTTTTAAAAAACAACAGGTTACTCGCTTGTTTTTAAAGTAAAATCAATTAATCGTTTTAAAAGCAACAGATTACTCGTTAGTTTTTAAAGTAAATCGCTTTTAAAGTAAAAGGTTATTCTCATTTCTTAAAATAAAGTCAACTTATCCCTTTAAAAAAAACAGGTTACGCACTTTTTTTTAAAGTAAAGTCAACTAATCGTTTTAAAAGTAAAAGGTTATTCACATTTCTTAAAATAAAGTCAACTAATCCCTTTGAAAAAACAGGTTACTCACTTTTCTTAAAGTAAAGTCAACTAAATCCTTTTAAAAACAACAGGTTATTCACTTTTCTTAAAGTAAAGTCAACTAATCGCTTAAAAACAGCAACAGGTTACTCACTTTTCCTTAAGTAAAATCAACTAATCACTTTAAAATCAACAGGTTACTCCCTTTTTTAAAAGTAAAATTAACTAATTGCTTTTTACAGTGTGTGGATATATACATACTATATATTAAAAGAAGCATTAGGTGATGTATTTTTCTCCTTCAGATGGGCGGTGGAGTGGTGATGGGTGTCGGGATCTGGACTCTGGTGGATAAAGGAGAGTATCTGAGTCTTCTGGCCTCCAGCACGTTCGCCGTGTCCGCCTACATCCTAATCCTGGCAGGAGGACTGGTGATGGTCACCGGCTTCTTAGGCTGCTGCGCTGTCATACGTGAACAGAGGAGCTGTCTGTCCACGGTAAGAGAAAATAAAACGACCAATGAATGACAGGACATAATTTGCGAGTCGCCTATTGTGCTTCACTCATTACATGTAATTGCTTTAGAACCTGACCACTTTAGTTATTGTCGCCTCTTAAGTCGGGGTAGGCGGCACTGAATGGCCATAGACAGAGTAAAACGAAATGACAAATGAGCTGACAGGCATCTGCCTTCTCAACATTTTTTTGGGGGATGATAGTATGTTGTGTTTGTTCGGGAGACAAGCAAGGTTGTGACTGCCACTGCTGCAGTGCTATTTATAGCCCGCTCTCGCTCAGATGTATGAATCTACGGCGGAGCGCCAACCTCGGTAGGAATTAGTAATGAGGAGACTGCCTTTTTGGGCTGATTTGAAAGCAGTGCATTATGGGAAAACACATATATATGCGTTAATGGCCTCACGTGAGGGTTACAGCTGTGTAGTGCACCGTTCTGTTTGAGTAACCTTGAATAGAGTCTTTTCATTTGCTTCAGCGCTCCTGTTAGTGTTTATATAAATGACGTCAAACTTCCTGTCTTTTCATTGGAACTCTAGAAAAGAGAAGTGGATGTGTTTGTACAGTATGTCTCTGTTTGCGTTGATTCATTTGTCTTTGTCACACATCAATCTTTCTTGGTTTTCCTGAGTCTGTAATTCAGCCTGCTACAATTCCTGCTTATACTTTGGATGAGTTTGTTTGTTGTGATGGAAACTGTCAGAAGTTTGGGGTTGTTGATTAGTTAAGATGAATTAAATAAGTAATTGTATTGCAATAAACTAATCAAAAGTGACAGGAAAGCCATTTTACATTGGCACAAAAAATTATTGTGACACTTTAGTTTAAGTATCAGTTATAATTATTAACTGCTTATTGCCTGCCTGTTATTAACATATTGGCTATATTACTTATAAAGTACATATCCTTAATCCTACCTAAAAACTAAACCTAAATACTACCATAATAACTGTTAATAAGCAGCAAGTTAGAAATTTAGAGCCAAAGCCAGTTAATAGTTTATTAACAGCACTAATGGTATCTTAAGTGACCAACATTTTAAAAGTTCCGTTTTTTTTTCAGACTTTTTATTGATCCTAAAAAAACTGTGTTGCTGTTTCACTACCACAAAAAAAGCTTCCAAAAGGAATTGTTCCACAGTGATCCTATTGACCTTATTCTAAAATGCGGAAGTGCGTCTGTTTTCGCGATTGTTTTTGAACTTCTGATTTAGTTACCTATGGGAGAAATGAATAGGAATAATAAACCGCAGAAAACGGTCAAACTACTTGCTCTACAAACAAATGTTTGCATTACTATACAGACCAAGTAGAATATTGTAATAAGAAAATATCAGTTTGCAACATCAAACAGGGAAACGAGCAGTTTTTAATGTCTAAAAATGAATGGAAGTGAATGAGACCGAAAGTCTCGAGCCAAAAAGATTCAAATGGCTGTGCCCGCTCGTCGGCTAAGAATAGGGTGAATAGAAGGACTATTTTTGGTTAAACTTATTAGTGAACAGTTCTTCAAATTTTTATCTAAAAAAACGAAAAAAATTTTGTGCCAATAGCCTATGGAATTGTGCGCCGATACTGTCTTGCGTCGACCCAAGTTCAATTCCTGACTCAAGGTCATTTGTCAATCCTTCCTCTCTCTCTGCTCCCGATGCTTTCCTGTCTGAAATCTCTACTGTCCTATATCATAATAAAGGTGAAAACCCCTAAAATAATTTAAGAAAAGTAAAACTTAACTAAAAATCTTTCTCTGTTTTCTTTTGTGTAATTGAAAAGACCTTCATTGAAACAATGATGCCAATAAAGACCTTTTTTTTTGTTTTACAAAAACATTAATCCGTATGCTTGTTTTCAACATTGACAATAAGCAAAGTTTCTTTATCGAAGTCTGAAGGATAATGTGCCACTAAAGACACATGAAGCCAGGAGTAATGATAATAATAAAAAAAAATAGTTTGAATCCAAATTATATTTTAAAATGTTCATTTATTCATTCAATTTCTTTTCGGCTTAGTCTCTTTATTAATCTGGGGTTGCCACAGTGGAATGAACCGCCAACTTATCCAGCACATGTTTTACGCAGCGGATGCCCTTCCAGCATCAACCCATCACTGAGAAACATCCTTACACACTCATTCACACACATACACTGACAATATAGCTTACCCAATTTACCTGTACTGCATGTTTTTGGACTTGTGGGGGAAACGGAAGCACCCGGATGAAAACCCACGCGAACACGGGGTATTTTAAAAAAATGTATATAATTAAGTATTAAAACAATTCATTTCAATTCTAAAACTATTTCAGTATATCACTATTTTGATATTGAAATAACTATGAATATGTGCATTTTTTCTCTTATAACAGCAGCTTTATTTATTTGATAGGTAATGGGTGCATTTTATTTGCTAGTTCACATGTTTATGTTTATCTAAATTACGTACTCACCTTTTTTCTAATCACTAGAAGAGATATGGATGTGTGTGTGCACATCTGCACTGTTTAGTCGTCTTTCTCTTATATCAATCTGGACTGATAGTTTGCTTCCAGCTTTGTGTTGCTTTTTAAGTCCTCAATTCAGCCTAACATAATATGTTGTGCATGTTTTTATGTTTACTGTTACCGATTAGTGATGAAAACTGAATTTTCAGTTCAACTTCGCCATTCAATTTGCAATTAAAACATAAACGTGTGTACATAGTAAAAAAACCCTGTGCAGTTTTAATCTTAAAAATATTGCTCTGTTTGCTGGCTGGTTTGTTTTCAATTAAACCATAAGAAATGTTTCCCTGAACGGATTTTCAAAGGCAGATTTGGGGTTGTTATCACCCACTCTCCTTCCCCACTCAATAAACTGTGACAGCTTATTCAGTTTAGTCATTTATTGTTTTATTTTCCTCTGAGAAAAATGTCACAGTGCCTTTTATTTTGGTCTGTCAGGCATCTCCACCTCTGCCAGCTCCGAGGAAGAGATTTCTGAGAAAGCGACTTTATTTACTTTATCCCCATGACAGTGTAAATGTGGTTGCGTTTGGAAGTATTTGAATGTCTGAATGTGCCTTGTTTTAAACAATCTTTCATTTTCATATTGTTTCTTAGAAGGGGAATGATTTATTATGCATAACTAATTATAACAACTAAACATTTTAACATCTAACTGAGTAGTTAGTGTTTACAATGAATGGATTAAAAGATTTATACATTTTTATTTATGATGTATTTAATTGATTTACAGTTTGTTTGATTTTTTATGTTTGAAAGCATTTTTGCAAATGCTTTGATGTTTTTTTATTTTTATTTTTTAGTTATATTGTTTAGCTGTTTTTAGCCATAAAATTATGCAATTCTGAATGTGACTCAAATAGGTGAGTGAGCTTAACAAACCACCTGTCGAAAACACAATCTTTCATCTCTCTGGGACTTTAGCCAAAACTTGCACCAGTTTTGCATATTTGCACCATATGCTTTTTCACAATCACCCCAAAGATCTAAAAACATTGTGCATTTATAAAGCGTGCCTCACACAGGTGAGTGGGCTTGACAAACCACCTGTTAAAAACACAATCTTTCATCTCTCTGACCCTTTAGCCAACACTTGCACCAGTTATGCATATTTGCACCAGACAATTTCTTACAATAACCCCATAACTCTTAAAACATTGTGCATTTATAAAGCGACAATGACAAACCACCTATTGAAAACCTCTTCTCTCTAAAAAATAGATAAAAATAGTTCCTCCTCCTTACTCTAGCACTTTAACACAACATATTATGCTAAATGACTAAATAAAAATGTTTTTTGTATTTTTTTTTCATCAAATTGTTTTTATCTCTTACTTTTATTATTAATTAAAAATTATTTAAAAATGTGATGTCATGAGGTTGCGTTATTCTTTCAGTCAGTAAATAGATGATATAAATAATACCAAAACCTATTCTATAACAAAATGTGAAAAAATAATGCATGCTTTTATTACCTCTAGGTTGGACTATTGTAACTCACTTTGGGATAAGTCAGACAACTCTGTCATTTACAGTTAGTTCAAAATGCTGCTGCAAGACTTTTAACCGGTACCACAAAACATGACCACATCACTCCAGTCTTACGCTCTTTGCACTGGTTTCCTGTGCACTATTGTGTCACTTTTAAAATGCTTCTCTTGATTTTTTTTTTTTATCACTAATTTGCCTGGCACCTTCTTATCTGTCAGAGCTGTTGACTGAACATCAGCCTGGTCGGTCTCTTTGGTCATCAAACCAGAGATTATTATGCATCCCTAAGTCGAGGCTAAAATGCAGAGGTGACTGTGCTTTCGTAGTAGCTGGTCCTATATTGTGGAATGCTCTGCCCCTTTGTATTAGGGCTATATCATCTCTGCCTGTTTTTAAATCTAACCTTTTTGATTTGCCATTATCAGTGAGAATTGTTTGTTTGAGCTATAATTTTTGATCATTTTTGATCATCATTTTTGTGATTTGTATTGTGCAGCACATTGGTCAACCTTTGATTGTGTTTAATAGTGATATTTAAATAAAATTGACATTAATCCAGGAACATTTGAAATACTATCTTGTTTAATAATTATCATTATATTTCTGTTTAAGATTATAATTTTTAATATAACAGATTATTTCTGTTTAAGATTATATTTATATTTATATTTTATATTTTTTTGTTTAATTTTTAACGTCCTCTTGACCTTCATATTGAGTATGATGGGAATCGTGATTATGTTTTACATACAGTTTTGTATTTCTCATAGATAATTAGGATATACATGAGCATTTTATGGCATCCGCCAGAGTACTTGGTGGTTCATTCCACTGTGGCGACCCCTGATAAAGCAGGAACTAAGCCAGAGGAAGGATCGAATGAGCATTTTATGACCTGTATAGCATACACATTGTACAGCAATAATAACTAGACTTCCTCCTGTTGCCTGATTAGAATGTATTGCATTAATTGAATTTTCATTGATCATTGGTTCCTGTGTTCCTCTAGTACTTCTCCTGTCTGCTTCTGATCTTCCTCATCGAGCTGGTGGCTGGAGTTCTGGCCTATGTGTATTATCAGGCGGTAAGTGAACTCTTTCCACAACACTGACACACAAAACAAAGCTCTTAAGAATAACACCAGATTGCTTTTATGATGGATATAGTTGTAGGACGGTATCAGGCACAGATGAGGTGTTTGACAGATGACACTGCCTACCGCTCGCTCTATCGTTGTTTTTATTTTTCTCTCATCTCGATCTCTCACAGCTGAGTGAAGAGCTGAAGCAGCACTTGAGCAAGACAATGATGGAGAACTATGCTCAACCTGGGAAAGAAAGCATCACTCAGTCTGTGGACCGACTACAGCAGGATGTGAGGAACTCTAAGTCATGTTTCTAAGCTTTTTCACTTCTTGGTTTTTGAAGGGCAGTTCTTTTATAAGTATGTTTTAATGTTGAATTGTGTATCTGTAGTTTTTGCTGAGAGCGCCATTAGTTTAAAGTGTAAAGTGTCAGTGTAAAGCTGTTTAATTTAATTTAATTTAATTTAATTTAATTTATTCAATTTAATTCAATTTAATTGTATTTTATTTTATTTTATTTGATTTTATTTGATTTTATTTTAGATTTTATAACAATACTTTTTTTAAACTAATGAGCTATGCTATCCACTGCCCCAAGCATTATGTAAAATATCTGTTTAAAAGTTTTATTTTATGTATATCAATTACCTCAAGGATTATGTAAAATATTTAGGAATTTATTTTAAAAGGCATTTTTTTAACCAAATAGGCTACACAAGTCCAAACAAAATAATTATATTGGTATTTATTTATTTATTTTTATTTATAAATTATTTATTTTTCTTAGTTTTATTATTTTAGTATTTATTTATTTAGTTAGTTAGTTAGTTATTTTATTGTTTTATTTTTATTTAATATTTTTTATTTAATTTTTAAATTTAATTTTATGAATTTTAATTAGCTTTATTTATTTTTATTTATTTTATTATTTAATTTTTTTTATTTAATTATTTAATTTTTATTTGTTTATTTTTAATTTAATTTAATTTAATTTAATTTAATTTAATTTAATTTAATTTAATTTAATTTAATTTAATTTAATTTAATTTAATTTAATTTAATTTAATTTAATTTAATTTAATTTAATTTAATTTAATTTAATTACCAAAAAGAAGTTAATGACAGACATAAGCTATAGTGTGGAAACCTTATGTAAAATCTCCCAAATTAAATTAATTAATTAAATAATAATATTAATAATTTATAATAATAATAATAATAATAATAATAATAATAATCATAATAATTATTTTATTTTATTTTGTTTTGTTTTTAAAAAATTTATTTAGAAATATACATATATTATATTAGTATTGTTTTATTAAATGAGCTACACAATTCACTGCCCCAAGCAATACATAACATATCGTAATGTTATTTTTATCATTATCAGCACTTTAATTTTAAAACTCCTCTACACAATCTACTGACATAACATAACTTCTGCATTCTAATAACAGGCACTGATACATTAAAAAAACAGCATATCTTTGCTCAATAATCCTTACAGCAAAATAACCACAAGTCCATCAATTCTACCTTGTAGTTCAAGTGCTGCGGCAGCAACAACTCGTTAGACTGGATGCACAGTGTCTACATCATGTCCCAGGCGGCGGATTCAAGAGTGGTCCCAGACAGCTGCTGTAAGACCATCACTCCTCAGTGTGGAAGGAGAGACCACCCCTCCAACATCTACAAAGTAGAGGTCAGTGGGGCACCACTAAAGTCACCACTAAAGAAGCTGACAAAAAACAAAAATCTACCTCTATGCCAGTGTTTTTCTCAACCATGTTCCAACTGCATGTTTTGGATGTCTCCTTTGTCTGTTACATCCATTACAGGTCTTTCAGTCTCTGCTAATCAGCTAATGATCTGAATCAGGTGTGCTTGGTTAAAGAGACACTGCTCTTAATTGCTCTTATGCAGCTTAAGCAGCAGCCATGTTTATTATTTATTATTCATCGCTATATTTATATACACAACTTTTTTGTGCTTCTGATTTTGAATGCGATGTCATGCACCTTTTGGTAAGCTGCTTTGGAATGATAATTATTGTGAACTATACAATCGCACTTGAATTGAAATGACTTGAATGGATGGTGCTTATGCACACTTGTGGTTTACAAACCACAAATGCACTATTGTCAATGTGCTGCTGTGGTTTGTAGATATAAGACAAAGCCGCCACATGTTTAGATGTTTCCCCGTTGTCTGTGGGAACGACAGTACGCCTGTGAATACCATATCCTCATGAAGTGCTTGATACGGCCCTCGGGAGTGAGTTTGACTTAAGAAAGCACAGCTGTGAGCTCAGCAGGTGTGCTTGGTTGTAACATATATGAGCTTGTGAGGTGTGAGGTAATGCTGCACTTATTCTTTGGGAACAGACCTCCGGTTTGATATATAATACACCGCAATACAGGTTTTACAGGCCTCTCAGGAGCCATTAGCTATATTCTATACCTGATACGTCTGGTAAATCACACAAGAAAAATAGGTCTCCCTATCATGCTTTATCAGGCTGCTAAATAAATCCGTTTATATGTCTACGTCTGTGTGTGTTGACACTGAAAAGGCAGGCTTATTAATGCTGTGGTTTCTCATAGGGAGGCTGCATTACTAAACTGGAGCAGTTTCTGGCTGATCACTTGCTTATCATTGGTGCTGTGGGAATAGGTGTGGCCTGTCTACAGGTAAGTCCCTCCCCCTTATGTAGATTATGAAATTAAAGGAATAGTTCACAGAAAAAGGACTAATGATTATAACATGATGTTTTAGAATCATAGGATTTATTGTTTCCTGTATATGATATAATAATTTCCTGTAGTAATAATGGCGTCACGGGGGCGCAGTGAGTAGCACGATCGTCTTACAGCAAGAAAGTCACTGGTTCAAGCCTCAGCTGGATCAGTTGGCATTTCTGTGTGGAGTGTGCATGTTCTCCCCGTTTACGTGGGTTTCGTCTGGGTGCTCCGGTTTCAAGTCTAAAGACGTGGTATAGGTGAATTGGGTAGGCTAAATTGTCTGTAGTGTATGTGTGTGAATAAGAGTGATGGGTTGCAGTCGGAAGGGCATCCACTGCGTAAAACGTACAGTATACTGGATAAGTTGGTGGTTCATTCCGCAGTGGCGACCCTAGATTAATAAAGGGATTAAGCTGATAAGAAAATGAATGAATATTAATAATAATAATAATAATAATAATACCACAGATTTCCTTCTACCACAGTTATTAAGCTTCTAAAAGGACAATATTACAGCATGCTAATTATTATTGTATATTTTATGCATATACATACACAGCTTTTCATACAAGTATACATACAAGTATGGGGCTAGTAGTTTTTTGTTTTAAAAGAACACAGTGCTGCATGGCCTCTGCAGATTGAAATTTGGAAGACACAAGCTAAAGAAAAACGCTTCAGAAAAATGGTAGATCCCTCAGTGTACTTGTTCATCGTTTACTATACTGTCATCAGGTAGTTGTTTTTCATAACGTCAATTTGTTAAATAATTGTACTTGTCTTTTAAATGTGGATCGACTTTATTAATTCATGCGGCTTCTCCACATTTGAACCATTACCATGTGTAATTTTTTCACACTCATCAAGGATAAATGTATTTGATAAAAAAATACAGTATAATTCAATAATAATAATAATAATACCAACAATAATTTATATGTATTGTGAAACAATAGTGCTATTTTTTATTTATTTGGTGCAAAGCTGAATTTTTTTGCATCACTACTCCTGTTATCAACAGTGTCGTATGATATTTCAGAAATCCTTTTAATAGGCTTATTTGGTGCTCAGAAATGTTTACGATTATAATCAGTGCAGAAAACACTGCTTAATATTTTTGCCAAATCCTGATTACATTTTTAATTCTTTCCTAATTCTTTGTAAAAAGTTTTTTAGTATTATAAATGTTTTTTATATTATTATTGTTGATTAATGCAATGCATCTTTACTTAATAAAAACACATTCCTTTTAAAATGAACAAACAATTAAACGCCATCATATGAATTGTGTTATTTATGATTTATACTCAATCCATCACATGGATACCTGCATACTTTACAACATATATATTGATGTTTATGTCCAATTACTATGAAGCGTTCCTCAGAGGAACTGTAGAAACAATGGATCATTGAGTTCCTTAAATGTGGTTCAATAACATGAAAGCCTTTACTAAAATAGCTGATGCAATGACCTGCAGGCAATCGTTTAATGGACTCTTGCTTTTGCCCTCGACCGGTAATGTGCACGGTAGTCACACCGAGCACTGCCTGCTGGGTAAAAATAGGTGGGGACCGCATGCAGGTTCGAGAAAATGAAAGAAAGTGAGATAAAGAGCTCTCAGCTTTAAGTGCAGATCTGGCAGTAAGAGTGCGCTGCATTCACTGCAGGGGTGCAGAGGGCCATCGATCTGTTTCCTGTGAATAAACTCTGTATATAAACACCACTGAAATCTGACTCCAGCTCAGACCTCGTATTGATTCTCGGAGCTGGGAGTGATGTATAATGACCATAGATTATACTTTTATGAAGTTTATCCCTCTCTTTATCTTGTTGGATTTGTGGTTTGTGGTTTTAATGTTTGGTATGAAATTTTGTTTCATCAAGGAATAAAAAAAAGTCATTGCTTATAAAAGTTTTTTTTTTTTGTTCTCCCAATTTTTATTTCATTTACATTTTACATTTCTTCTCAGAGTTGTGAGTTTTCATCTATGAATTGGGCAATTGCATGTCATAATATTATTATATATTGGGTTTCTGTATCTTTCAGTTCTCAGACTATTTTCTGTGAAAATAATCTCACTATTTGGACTTCTCTCAAAATTGTTTATGTTTATGACTAAAAATCTTGCAGTTGTGAAATGTAACATTGCAAGAAGGCTTTTTTTTGTTCCAGTGCTGAATTTATATAAAAATGTTCAGGCATATTTTCTCTGCAATTTATTTTTTGTTTTGTTTTTTTCCAAATTGCAAGATAGAAATTCACAATTACAGTTTGTTAATACCTTTTCATATCAAACTTTACATATCTTGCTATTTAGATTTCTGTCAGAAACCTATTTTTTTCTATAAATCGTAAGGAAGAGATCAAAATTGTGTGATAAATTGTGTCACAATTGCAATTTTGAGTTTGTTAAACTTGCAATAAGGCTTTTCATCTTTGTAAATCTTTGTGTACCTTTGTATTTTACATTTTATCTCACACCTATGTTGAAAAGTCACAGTTATATATATGCATACACATATATATATATATATATATATATATATATATATATATATATATATATATATATATATATATACAGCTAAAGTGATTTTGTCACATCTGATTGCATAACTGGCGCAAAAATTATGCCAAATGCTGCAATACATATTATGTCCACAGTAAGCATTTAAATTTACATACAAACCTGTGGAAGTTCATTTACTGAGAAAAAAATAAAAATAAATATATATATGATTTAGCCCATTATCCCACATGAAAAGAGAGTGAGAATGATGGGAAGGTTGGGGTGAATGCCTTTATTTACAGATATTTTAATTTCCAGCAAATCAAGGTAAGAAAAAGGTGCAGCTTGAATAGTGAACTCCATTCTGTTATAAGCTGGATTGTTTATCACTGTAATATGTTCATTATAAAATAATAGAATAAATAGATAATAGTATAAATAATATAATATATAATTATATAAGATATAATAAATAATAGAATAAAAAATATAAAGCAATGTTTTCTAGATTTTTTAAAATAATAAATAAATTAGGAAATCACCTATGGCAACTTTAATAAAGTTTGGCATATTTACCTTCGCCCACCACCCTCAATAAAGTTTGGTTTTTGGCCCCTCATAAGAAAAAGTTTGGGCACCCCTGCTTCTGTGTATCTTTTGTAGTACGCACTGTGCACTGCATGAACAGCAGAAGTTTATAACACCTCCTGTGTATTGAATTTAATTGTATGTTTTTTCATTGTATGCTTAAAACTGTATCCATAAGTGTGTCAGGTTTTCATGAGGAGCAGCGTTTAAGCAGCGTTTTCAGGTCATGTGATCATTTCATCCAGGAAACATGAAACTCTGGAGAGATTGTGTGGCTAAAAATAAGTCCTGTGTTGAATTTAATGTAATGATTTTACTGTAAAAAGCCTCCAAGTAGCTTGAAGCGCCTCTCTAGAGGGAGCGCTAATTAAATTGATCCTCCTCAATGATCTTTCATTATTACCGTCATGGCAGTAAACAGAGCGCGGGGCTAGAACATTACATTTCACATTCATAACATAACAGACTGTTAAGTCTTCTTTATTTAATTTTTGGAGTGTATCTTATGTTACTGGTGTTAAAGAAGCTAAAGCTTTAGCTTGCTAAACGGCTCAAGCTAATAACACACGTTATGAGCAAAAAGTAGCCTACACAAGTCGATTAGTCAGTTTTGATTATTCTTTTATGAATGAATATGCGATTTATATTATTTACTTCTACAATTACAAAATGTATCTCATATTAAAGCAATTTAGTGTTTTTAGCACATTAGCACAATGCTAATTTACAGTTAGATACTCTCAATTGTGCTTTTAAAGAAATAGTTTACCGAGAAATTAAACATATGTCATCATTTTCTCACCTTTAACTTGTTACAAACCAGTTTAGCCATTTTTATTGTTCTGTTGAACACAAAGATATTTTGAAGAACACTGGAAATTAATATGCACTGACATCCATGGTGGGAAAAACAAATACAATGTCTTCATGTCAGTATGAAAAAACAACCTCTGATCAACAAGACAAGTCAAGGGTTAAATGATGACAGAATTTTCATTTGTGGGTGAGAGATCTCTTTAAGTTAAAGTAATAAAGCCTTGTTGGACTTAATATTTCACTTCACAAAAGAACAAGTCTTGATTTCTGATGTTTGTCTTAAATTACAGTTTTTGTCTATGTTTTTTCTTGGGTTTGTTTGTCTTTCTCTTTGTTTGTGTGTGTGTGTGTATGTGTGTGTGTGTGTGTCCTGTAGCTAATAGGAGCAGTGCTGACTGCCTGCTTTATTTATCTGCTTTATAAAGAAGAGGAAGAAGACTTTTCTCATGTTTGATTGGCTTGTGCCATTGTTTGACTCCTGAAGAGATATGCAATGAGAAGGTTGGATGTTTGAGTTTATGCTCATGTCTGTGAGTGTGTGCATGTCCATGCATCTTGTTCATGTCACCTCATGTCAACCCTCATGTTTTCCGTTTGAATTATGCGTATGTTTGGCATGATACCACCACACGTTGAACGCTGCATGGCATAAACAACCAAAACTCACAACTAATGGCACTTGAGAATGTTAAAGTGTTACTCATTTGTATTTGGACACAACATTCATTTCATATTGGGGAATAATTTAAGATGTTACATAAAAAAAACATATACAGTTGAAGTCAGATTTATTAGCCCCTTATATTTATTAGCCCCTTAGATTTTTTTCAACACATTTCTAAACATAATATTTTTAATAACTGATAATAAGGCAAATTTTTGTATGATAATGGTTTGTTCTGTAGACTATCACATACAAATTGCTTAAAGGGGCTAATAATAAAAACTAAATAAAACAAATAAGACTTTCTCCAGAAGAAAAAATATTATCAGACATACTGTGAAAATTTCCTTGTTCTATTAAACATCCTTTGGGAAATAAATATATTGTAAAAATCACAGGAGGGCTAATAATTTTGACTTCATATATGTTTTTTTTTAAGATTGAATAAACTGTGTTGACCGTACACCTGATGTAACCTTTTATTTGTGACCTGCTGTGGGTCTCCCAGTGTGTGCCCGATCTATTTCGGGCTTTCTATTGTATCCCTCCCTGTGTGGACCCAGACTATTGGAAAGCAGAGGTTTCAAAGTTGTCCACATGTCTGCTCAGAAAAGAAACTGTTTTCCCTTTGCTTTTTCTGTTGGGTTGTTGATTGCATCCATGTTCCATCTCTCGGTTTGTTGTCTATCGTGCCTGTGCAGTTAATCCCGGCTTTATTTTCCTCGAGAGTTGCATTAGAAGTGCTGGCAGACTGAGGTAATACTGCTTCTCACTCAGTTGCTTTGTCATGGAGGAGAATTGCCTGAAAAGATCAAGCTTTATAAAGCTTAACGTAAAAACACACACAAAGAAAGGTGTTTTGTAGATTTTTTTTTTTGCTACTTTTTTTCCATGAAAGTAATGTGAATGAGTTTGTTATGATTTCCTCAGTCAGAATTTGGCCTTCTGAATAGAAAAAAATGAAAACATAATAATATTAGTTTTGTAGAGCTTAACATTTTGAAAGTTCATTAAAAATAGCACGGGTTAGTTTAACACGGGTTACTTTTGGTGCTTCAAACCTTTTTAATGGTATTTTTTTCGTTTAAGAATAAGGTCCAAGATTCAGAATAAAAGTTGGGCTACTATAGTGAAAGATGACTTCACTTTCGTCATATTGTATGTTTTCTTGCACAGCTAGATTTTGGACTTATGGAAAATAATTGTTTGAATTTATTAGAAGCTGCCTTTGATGGGATAGTTTCTCATTTTATGATGGCAAAGCAGTCAAAATAAGACAAATGAGCTGATGTTTGCACCAATACTGAACTTTTTATCAGTGGGAGGTGGGTCTTTTGAACCACCCGAACCTCCCCTGGCTACGGGCCTGAGTAGATTGAGTAAATGACAACATTTTGATTTATCAACTAGTTTATTTTATTTATTTTTTATTTTTTCCAAGGTTCTGCAGGTTGCAATGTCCCGGATTTTGATAGCCAGTCTTAAGCCAGTTGTAATGGTTTGTTTTGGTATGATTTGATTTGGAATTTCCCCAACCAATCGCAGAGCCCGGGGGACCAGAGTGAGTGCTTCGACTTGCCACCCTCCCTCTGGTGCTTTTATCAAAATATTTTTGGATAGTCTTTTGAGTTCTAAAAGAAAAGTAAATAAATATTACATAATCTTAGCATTTATTTGTTTATTTATTGTTAATTTAGTTTTTTTATTTATTAGTTTTTTTGTTTTCAAGCACATTTTGCATTTACTGAAAAGCAGCCGCTGTTACACAATTATTTAACACACAAATGTAATTCCCATTTTGAGGTTGATTTAAAATCTCCAAAAACATTATTCAAGAGTTCACACTTAGATATTTCTTGATACTAATTGCATGTTTGGCATTGTAAGAGAACCTAGCTCTCGCCTGGTCAATTAGAATGCAAGGGGATCCAAGATTAGGTAGTTCTCGAGAGCCCCCACTGGTAAAGAAGGAAAAGGGGAAGATGGGGTGGATGGGAGGATTCATTTATGGATTAATCTAACTGAATTTCGATGATTGCGGATGAGAGACCATCCACGATCAATCATATCAAGTGCTCCCCTCGAAATTATTTTATCAAACTTCACTTAAATTCTCTGTCAACACGGTCTCGGTTACAGTTGGTTCAGAATGCAGCCACCAGATTGATAACAGGCACTAAGAAAAGACATCATATCTCCCCTGTGCTTGCCTCATTACACTGGCTTTCTACAAAACTCAGAGTTGATTTTAAGATCCTTCTTTTCACATATATCTATATCTGTGAACTTATAAGGCACAGTAGGGACCATTGTAAGTGATGTAAACAATAACAATGGTCCTAACGTATTTTCTGTTTTACATTTTTAATTTTCATAGCTTCAGAGAATCCAAAAAGGTGCACATGTTGCTAAATAATGTCATGGCAGCTGTTTTAACGTCATGATTGATTTGCCTCTTGTTACAGTTGACATAGTTTGACAACAAGCAGGAAATGTTCATGGCCCTATGACACTACCACATCGAAATGGTCTACAGCTTGTTTGTCATTAAGGTCCTATGATCAGTTTGTTTTGTCTGTCCCTCAGTGTCGCAGCAAATCAAAAGGTGACTGAGCTTTCAGTGTTGCAGCCCCAAGGCACTAGAACAGTCTCCTTCTTTACATCAGCTTTTCTCAGTCATTAGATGCTTTTAAAGCTAATTTAAAGACTTATTTTTACTCCCTTGCCTTTGGGTGATGCATTCATGTTGTGTCATATCTGTATTTCAGTTATTACATTACATTATTTAAGTTTTATTTTTTAGTTAATAAATATTTTATTTTAAGTATTTTGGATCAACTGCGGTTGTGAAAAATTGTGCTCTATAAATAAAGTTTGCCTTGCCTTGCCTTAAATCAAAAATCCTCACTTAAATGTGCTGTAAAAGCTCATTTACCGTACTGCTAATGACAGCTTAATCGCTTTTAACTTTGTGGTTTCTCCCGCAAAAGTAAACCATTATTAAGGCAATGATATGCTGTGCCTCCAGCTATGGTTTATTTCTGTGTTAGTGGGTAGGAAGAGGCTCCATCATTTTTGTCGAAATGATCGCCCACCACGAGCCCTCCTAGGACCTGGCTTCCCATTTGTTTTATTTTCCAGATAGAAAGAGGAAAAAATAAAGCAAGGCTAGATGTTGAAACTATATTTTTAGTTTATGTTTTGTAACTTGTAGACTGTGTCGAGGATTGCGAAGACTTGCAGCCATATATTTTTATCTCTTACAGATTTTTTTGAGTTGTTTCCTTTTTCCCTCCTATAGGACTGTAACTGCTTTAAGAATATCCGGGGGTGTTTTTATTCAGTCTTTACAACAAGAGAAGTACCAGAACTCACCTGTGTAAATCTCAGCATTTTCCCTGTCAATTATTCTGCCTACATGGCAACACCGTAAAAGCGAACCGGCTCTTGGAAATATGGAAATGTGAAAATGAATGTTTATGCTCTCTTCATTATGAGAGTTAGCGCTTGTCTGATTCTGCCTACATGCTGTATCCTTCATACAAACACGTGCACACATACACACACACTCCCACACATGCTAATTGACCCAATTACAACAACACTGCTACCAGCTGCCTTACACCTCGGTTTCCACAGTAACTATACACCGCTTCGCTTCTCCTTCAAGCCTTTCGTGAAGAGAGTTTCAACAATTGCCACAAGGCCATGTAGGCCCATATGTGCTTTTACCAAGTATTGAATCAAATGACAGAAGAAAGAAAGACTAAAGTGCTCTTATTAAACTACAATAATGGTTCCTTGTGAAATTAAGGATGTCTCCTGTTATAAGTATACATCCACTGAAGGTCAAAAAACACATTTCAGATTAAAGCATCAGGTTTCTCTAAACTTTTCTTGATTTTATTGGTCTACCACATATAAAAATACTGTGTTCCACACAATTGATTTGTGTTGAGGCAACATGAAGGAATTAAGTTATTGGCTTATTTTTAACTTATTTGTTTTTACAAATTTAAGCAGGTGAAGACAAAACAGTTAAGTTGTCCCCTCAAAAAGTTTTAGCTAATTTTAAATAAATAGTTTAAACTAACAGCAAACATTGACCAAACTGGTAAAATGTCAATTAGCGTATCTGAATTTCATCTCCAGACACTTTTTTAAGTTCTGAAACAAACATTAATGATGATATTGGTGATGGATGCAATTTATTTCCTTGTTTTGCTTTCAGTTGTGATCAGTGGACTGAAAATTTGATAATTTGATCAAATCTAATTGATAATTTTACACAAGTTAAATTGATAGCCTAAAAAATAATGGATTTGCTAGTATTTATCATATTATTATTATTATTATTATTATTATTATTATTATTATTATTATTATTATACAGTGTATGCATGTGTGTATTTACTTATTTATTGACCTTTTACTATCACAAACTGCTATTAACCCTATAATATTAGACATGCAGAATATTTTAAGCAAATAAAGTATCCTTGAAGACTCACTTTTTTACACTTGCCTATTTTTGAGGTGTACTGTATGTGTATTTTCTTTTTATCGTTTTTATATTTACAATGTTTCTGATTTGTTTTATTTTTATTTTTATCTAATTTTAAGCTTCTGCATTACTGTTTTTCTGCTATCCTTTTATTTTTAAAGTATATAATTCTCTTAATTCTCAAAGAGCTTTATATAGTCACTATATAAAGGCACTATATAAATTCAACAACAACAACAACAACAACAACAACAACAACAACAACTATTATTATTATTATTATTATTATTATTAGTTTTACTCACAATCAAAATTAAACATCAGAGAAACCACCTAGGGGCACCAAAACATTATTTCATAAAGTATTGTTTTTCAAAACGTTTTTAAAGTGTAAAGTGCTTTGATAATTAAGAGAATTAAGGTGCCATACAAAAAAAAAAATATTATTATTAATATTATTTAAATTATTAGTTTTACTCACATTAACAATTAAACATCAGACAAATTATATAGGGGCACCAAAACAATAGTTTAATAAAAAACTCCTGACACTGTTGAAGCTCTTTTTATGGAAAGTGCTGCTGCTCATTGCCTGCAGTTTCTCATTCAGTTTGTTTTGACCAGCTTATTTGACCAAGCAGATGTCCACCAGACATGAAAACATGGCTGCTGGCCATCTAATTTAGCCAAATGCAATTAAAAGGCCAAACGTCATCATTTTAATGAGTATTTATATGATCTCTGTCTGTGTGTGTGTTTCAGATATGTGGAATGGTGTTCACCTGTTGCCTGCATAGGCGAATTAAACTGGACCCGTACTGAATTGCTTGGAAACGTTTTCTGATACTCCAATACACTGACACACACAGCCTTACTACTGTGCCCGTTTTTAACTGCATGACCAAATACATCTACACCAATTCAAGGGATTTGATATTTTTTATTTGCCACTATTTTAGACAAGCGTTGTTATTGTTAATTGTCTTTACAGATGTTGTGTGTTGAAGTCATTTCAAGGAAGCGATCAGAAAAGAGTTTAAAGACATGTATTTTTGCTTGAGTAAATTATATTATCATATATCAAAGTATTTTTTATAAACACATATTTGCTTATGATAAATGTATGCAATGTGCTGCTAGATCTCAAACAGGTGTGGGAACCTGCTATTGGGCTCACAGATACACTGGACCAATGTCAAAATGTCTTTTAGGACCATTCATAATTATATTCTCTTTAAAATATATATGAAGCTCTGGGCAAGATATTGTTTAGCATTGTCGACAGTTTATTTTCTTATCGAAAAAGATGACACTTTTGTTTTAGGACATTTTTCAGGATATAAAAAGTCCTAAAAATAAATGGAAAGCATTTGAAGTGTACACTACCTGACTAAAGTCTTGTCACCTATCCAAGTTTTAGGAACTACAAATAATAACTTGACTTCTGGTTGATCATTTGGTATCAGAAGTGGTTTATGCGAAAGGGCAAGGACTCTAGATTGTGCATATTTTACCAAAATAAAATATGATAGTGCCTTATTTTTTAATTATTTAATAAGTAAAGTCTGACTTTTTAAAACAAATTACTAATAAATCTGGTTTGGCAACGAAAGCATTCTTGCAGGACTCCCAGAGTTCATCAAGATAGTTTGGATTCATCTTCAATGCCTCCTCCTTCATCTTACCAGACATGCTCAATAATGTTTATATCTAGTGCCTGGGCTGGCCAATCCTGGAGCACCTTCTTTACTTTTAGGACTTTGATGTGGAGGCTGAAGTGGAGGCTCTAACTATCTATCTATATTTGTCTGTCTGTCTGTCTGTCTGTCTGTCTGTCTGTCTGTCTGTCTGTCTGTCTGTCTGTCTGTCTGTCTGTCTGTCTATCTATCTATCTATCTATCTATCTATCTATCTATCTATCTATCTATCTATCTATCTATCTATCTATCTATCTCAATGTAACCCCAAACCATAATGTTTCCTTCACCAAACTTGACTGATTTCTATGAGAATATTAGGTCCATGCGGGTTCCAATAGGTCTTCTTTAGTATTTGTGAGGATTAAGATGCAGTTTATGAGATGATTCATCGGAAAAATCGACCTTCTGCCGCCTTTCCAAATGATCAAGGAATGAAGTTATTATTTGTTGCTCCTACAACTGGGATCAATGACAAGACTTTTGTCGGGTAGTGTATTTGTTATGTTTTAGCAAGAAACAAGTGTCTTATTTCAAGTCTGTGGATCTCTAGTTATTTATAATTTATTAATCTATTTCAGTACTCTAAATCATTACAAAATCTGCCAATTGTCAAAAATATCTTGTTGAACATCAGTTAAAAAAAAGGTGCCTTTTTGAGCCTTAATGACTTTTCCTCTGATGAACTGGCTGTATATTGTGATTATTGGATTGTATAAGCGCTTTCATTTAACTGTTGAACTTTTGTTAAGGGTCGTGTCCTGAACTGTTTCAGCTGAACGCAGAAAAAGAATGAGAAGCACTGCATTTTAACACAAATGTAAAATCCTAATGTAGTTGCCACAGCAACATCAGCCGTATTGAAATTCAATGTCATTTGAGGGAAAAATGGTTCATAAAAAGAACATAACAGTCTTGTTTTCTGTTGTACTGATTACCATTTGAAATCCAATTGCTTTATGCTAACGACAGATTATGCATATTTTAAAATTCAGGTCAGAATATCGTACATAAACAAACATTCTCTCATCATAGCTGCAAGAAGGCTATAGATTATGATTTCAAGTATGCGTTTAACCAACCATTTTGCTAATGTAAAGCCTGTCATTATTCAGTTTAACACTATTATGTATTTGTAGATTGAATGTGTATGTATTTTCATAATGTTGTATGATCAATTGCGCTCATAACAGTGGATTCACTTCATTAAGTCTTTGCCTTAAGACTGTTTTGTCATTTTGCGGACAGAAGAGATTTTTCAAATAAACAGATCTTGCTTGTTTTTTCATTTTATTTACTGCTTGCACTAACAAACGTTCACCAGTGGATGGAGACAAACACAAATGGATAAGAAAAAGGACAAGAACTTTAAATCGGAAATCCACTCGATTCTCACGTGCTTTCCCTTTAGCAACGACCTGCAGACATGCTGCAGCTTCTCATATCCGGATCATAACATTCATATCCGGAAAATATCCAGATTGTCTTTGCATTTGACCATATAAATGTGTCTCTGTTTTCTGTCTCCGTCAGATACAAATATGATCTGCAATGCTTTTCCCTTGTCGCAAACAAATCTGAGGAAGCTAATTTCCTGGTGCCTCAAAATGGCATTGTTATATGGATTTGTGTGCAAGAACAAAACTTTGAGTCATATAGTTTTAATCATGTGCTGGCATTGGTGATGTGCGCATTTTTAACTCTTCTGTCATCCATTATGAGCAAGTTACTGACAAATTAAATTAGGGTGGAGTAATTATGACTTATGCAACTTGAATAAACAGATGTTTCCAATGTACTCTCATGCACCATGTGTTTTAATCCACAATTCTCTCTTGCAATGTATATGCCATTACACTGTCACCTGATCAGTCCAAGACCCATAAAGTGGCCCACTGTGGCCGAAGTGCCCCCTCTGCTCCTGTCATTTCCTCAGGAAACCACGCATAACTTGAGTGAAGCATAAACGAGCTTAACAACCCCCCACCCCCTGTTTAACATGGCCAGAGTGAATGGAAGACAGCTGGTGATGTATTACTGTCCTCACACATACCCTGGGCTCAAATCTTTGAGCAGCGCCTCTCCTATATGAGCTGCTTCATTTCGGCTGACTGGACCAATGAGTTATGGATAGTGGAAAGTTATGACAGGCTTCTATGACACAGTGCAAATATGTGTGTCTGTCCATATGTTTGTCAGTATATCTGTCTGTTCGTCCATCAGTCTGTCTGTCTGTCTGTCTGTCTGTCTATCTATCTATCTATATTTAGCTGTCTGTCTGTCTGTCTATCTATCTATCTGTCTGTCTGTCTATCTATCCCTGTCTGTCTATCTATCTATCTATCTATCTATCTATCTATCTATCTATCTATCTATCTATCTATCTATCTATCTATCTATCTATCTATCTATCTATCTATCTGTCTGTCTGTCTGTCTGTCTGTCTGTCTGTCTGTCTGTCTGTCTGTCTGTCTGTCTATATTTAGCTGTCTGTCTGTCTGTCTATCTATCCCTGTCTGTCTGTCTATCTATCTATCTATCTATCTATCTATCTATCTATCTATCTATCTATCTATCTATCTATCTATCTATCTATCTATCTATCTATCTGTCTGTCTGTCTGTCTGTCTGTCTGTCTGTCTATATTTAGCTGTCTGTCTGTCTATCTGTCTGTCTGTCTATCTATCTATCTATCTATCTATCTATCTATCTATCTATCTATCTATCTATCTATCTATCTGTCTGTCTGTCTGTCTGTCTGTCTGTCTGTCTGTCTGTCTGTCTGTCTGTCTGTCTGTCTATATTTGTCTGTCTGTCTATCTATCTGTCTATCCCTGTCTATTTGTCTGTCTGTCTGTCTGTCTGTCTGTCTTTCTGTCTGTCTGTCTGTCTGTCTGTCTGTCTGTCTATCTATCTATCTATCTATCTATCTATCTATCTATCTATCTATCTATCTATCTATCTATCTATCTATCTATCTATCTATCTGATTCTCTGTCTTTCTGTCTGTCTGTTTTAAAAAATGGCCTGCAGTGGAAGTGAACCTGAGCTGACATGTACATTTAAACGGCATTGCTCTCTGCAGTAAACATGCTGGAATGTTTCAGTGCCATGATCAAAGCTCAGCTAAGACGCCGTTTAGACAACAAAAGCTGCGAGTGTCAGCAGGACCAGGCCCAGGCCGTCACACAAACTGAAACTGTGGAGCGTGTTCCTGTCAGCATGTGGACATGTGTCAGAACCAAAGCAATCGCAGCAAGAGATGAATAGTGCCAGATGTTGCTTCTTGGATCTGATCCTGAATAGATGGCCTCCAGACGTCCAGGGAGAACAGCTTTTCAATCAAACTTAAGTCAGATGCGTAAATGTTTCACATCTGTCACTTTTTCAATGTTTTATGAATTCGGTGAAATCATGTTTGTCATTATGATCGACAAGCATTAATGCTGCTTTAGGTATATTGTTGTACTTGATCAAATTATTTGCTTTCACAGTCCCACGATGTACAAGAGGACCCTTGGCCTTAACATAATGCAATTTGTATGTGTGGTACAGTCCTAAACAACTCTATGATGCTGACATAAACAGATCCATCAGTAAATGCTTTGTTTATTGAGTTATTTTGGACTTTCCAGCACTGGAATTAAATGAGAGAGAAAGACTTTTGTTTGATGTGCTGCCTTACCATAATATGTAAATCTCCTCTTCAATTGTTTATGTGAGTTGTGTTAGCTTTCATGACAAAAAAAAAAAAAAACAGGATATGTTATGGAGAAAAAACAAACATAAATTTCAGCTAAGTAAATATAATATTATTTATTTACAAAACACTAACTCGCATATGTGTTTGAGTAAGTACCGACCAGCCAATTGTAATTGCACGCGACGGTTACCTCATTAATTATTCATAAGCGTTTTATAGCTCCCTGACAGGAACTTTTATTGCTCTTAAATTTCAAGTTCTTGTGCAAAACAAGTTGAATAATGACAGCGAAACTATCAGATTTAGTGTTAAATACAAATTAGCATTGCATTTTTGTGTTAAAAGACACCTGCAGCGATTATGTTTACACTTACTGTCATGAAAACCGGACGCGTCAATTCAAATTAAAAGTTTGTTGTTTACAAACGCGCATTAGGAAATCATAAAGAGGATCAACGATTTCACGGTAAACTATGATTAACAGTGTCAGAAGTGTAACTAGATAACAAGGGATTACATTAATCCAGTTAATGTAAAGTGTGACAAGCCTGTCAGATACTGTTAGAGTCTATATAAAAGCATACACTGATACATTCAACGATTTATATTGTTTCAGGTTCAGAAGGTTATTCATCTGGATAAAAGCACATCTGATTTGGTGAGTTACATAACTGTTGAATTATGTATGTGAGAAAGATTTACAATATGCTTGCTTAGGGATCTATTATTTGTATTGTTGTGAGTGTAGCAAAAATGCTTTTATTTCAAACTGGGCGTTCCTTATTCTTGTTATTACATTTTGTCTGCCAGAACATTTTGTGTCAATTATTTGTGTTTGTTCAAATACCATGGTTCACTCACTTAAATGTCCTTGCCACACTCCAAACTTCATCTAAAACATTTCCTCTTTCTGTGATTGATTATAAAGCCAAAGCCAATGACTTTTTGAATATGGAGGGGAGTGTCCCAAATTAATCA